AGATCTTAAGAAATGTTTTAGTTGAAAAATAACTAAATTACTGTAAAATAGTGGGTGACACCAATGATACTAGCTCTGCAAGGGATTTTACCCTTGACTTGTGATTTATAAACTGTGCAATGGAAGGAAGGATTCTCGCTAAGTGAGAGCTGTAACCCTTTAGCTCCCGTTGGGAAAACCGGTTTATGGGAGATTGGGTATTTAGTATTCTCTTAACTATCCTTATGATCTCATGAACCACTCAAAGGAACACGCAAGTACCATAACCACTGTAGCTTGATGCAGTGCTTATAGTGCCTGGAGTGAACTGGCTCTGTCAGTAATCTGTCATACTGTTTTAGTCTGGTCTGACACTTACCTGGGTTCGCCCATGCCACATCTGGTCTTCTCAAAGCTGGAGAAACCAGATGCCGCTATCAGAGCTCAAGAAAAAAACTGAATGAGTAGCCCTATTGAAACAAACTGGCAACTCTGAGCTAAAATGTTTTGACAGTTTACTCTGTAATGGTGCCAGGGCACTAATGGTACCATAGCCACTACAGTTGGCTGTAGATCGTTTAGGGGCTTGGAGTATTCTTTTAAGGACCTCTGACATGCAATGCAATTACCTATATGTTTCGTGTTACTGTATGGTATGTGAGTATGATATTGGTGAGGTATGTGATGGGTATAATGTGAGCAAGTAATGGGCCCTGATTGTACTGAAGGTGCAGTGAGGGTGAGAGAAGCATTCTCCATGCATGACAAATTAATAACATAAAACACACACAAACACACAGCCTTGCCTCCGCTGGATTGGTTTTGTAAATTTGTGTTGGAGAGCAGTTAGAGAAATATATATTATTTGCATCTCTTTCTAGTCAGCCCCTTCTTCATTTTTGTTCATTTATAATAAACTATGGGATGTTATTTTGCATGTTTAACTTCATGGTTGGTTAGTTAGGGATCTTCCATTTCTATTGCACAACATGTGTAAATTACATTTCAGAGTTAAACATGTATAACAGCGTTTTCTGGACACATTTCACTGATACATATTAATGGGTAACATTTGCACTCTTTCGATCTACGATGAAGAACCAGCAAGGGATTCTGGAGCATATAAATTCTGCATACAGTAGGCCAGTGCTTTTCATGTGTTGCCTCCAACATAAATAAAATAGTGTTTTCAGGAAAACATAGTGGAGCTGGCAATTCTAGTGTTAAGACATGATTATTCACTAAATTGAGAATTCAAAGTGAATTACAAATTTAAGGCCAAAATAGTCAATTTGAAAATTCTTTAAGTCAACTACGTTCAATTACTTTGGCCTTACATTTGAAATTCACTCTCAGGGTTATTTATAAAAGTAATAATCATCAGGAATGCAGAGTGATTTCAAATAGAACTTAAAATTTAAGGCCAGATTGGCTTTACTAGAAAACTGGAAACATTGCTGATTTAAAGAGTATTTCCAGTTTAGCTATTATAACCTTAATATTTACATTTACCTTGAATTATTTTTAATTTCAGGCTTTAGCGAGTAACCTTATTTAAATTGTCACATTACTGAATAATGTTTTAACATTACTGAATAAACCTGAGTGTCAGCAATACTTTGTGTATTTATAAAGTGCTCTAGGAAGAAGACAGGATGATATACGTCCAAATAAAATGAAGTATGATTCACCCCTTAAGGACCAAACTTCTGGAATAAAAGGGAATCATGACATGTCACACATGTCATGTGTCCTTAAGGGGTTAATAAGCATGATGATGTAAATTGATGTAAATTGAGTTGATGGACCACAATAGGTTCAGGAATACAAACATGTATTCCTGACCCTATAGTGTTAAAACACATGTAAAGTCCCTGTTCCCCCTCCTCACCCCTAAAATAAGTAAGAAAACCTTTTTTCCAATGTTGCGCAGGTCCATCTGTGCTGGCTCCGCACCCAATCTGCCTCCTTAGCTGTCATTATCAGAATTGATTATCTCAGCCAATGGCAACGCTTTCTCAAAGGAAAGCATTGGAATGGCTGAAATGATCGATTTTGATGATCTCAGCCAAGAAGACGGCGGCTGGGCCAAACGTCGCTCTAGCCAATTAGTAGCTCCTCATAGAGATGCATTGATTCAATGCTTCTCTATGGGGAGTGTGCAACACTGCCCAGGAAGCACCTCTAGTGGCTCTCCGAGGAGTGGTCAGTGTTCCTAGGCACTTATGTTCTTAGTGTTTACATTAAAAATGCAGTGTTTACATTAAAAAGCCCTCAGGGACATGGTATAGATACCAAAACAACTACATTAAGCTGTAGTTGTTTTGATGACTATAGTGTCCCCTTAATGTAATTTTTATTTGCCAGTACACAGCTTTAGAATAGGTGAAAAAAAATCATAGTTCTTCATCCAATTAGACTATGAGGAAATGTTAAGGCACCATTTAACTTTCAACAGCTAAAAATAATCTTTTTCAATTATAAGAGATAGTTGTTATGTACAAACACAGACATCAATGCTGACTTATTTCAAGCAGTCCATTTGAATGCTGTTAGAACAAAACAGTGGTTCATTTTTTTAAGGATATAATTTAGATGATGTTTTCAGAAAGAAAATTTATTTTAAGTTATCAGTTTGCGGTCTACCTGTACATGCTTTTACGGGCTCTCCTCTACTGAGGCAAAGTATGACACCCATCTCCTTAACCCCTTAAATTAAAATTGGCAGGATCCCTCCCTCAGCGACCACCACTGTCCAGCTATGTCACATTATATTGCAGCTGATATGCCATTTACGTACTGCTAAGTTGCCTGAATACTTCTCAGTTATTGTATTGCTGACGCTAGATTGTGCTATGCAGCACATTGCCTCAATAAAACTGTAATGACAAAAAAAAAAAAAAATATTCCACTACCGCTTTGGTGCCCTTCACAGCTACATAAAAGGTGTTCAATAGGGTTGGCCATTCCTCGTGGCAAGTCTTTTGAAACTGGCCTTGGTCCCCATATGCTCTCTTGAATAACTACGCTTTACTCTCAGCCAAAGGTTCAGCTAAAGGTTTGTATTTGTAATGGAATTTGTAATGGAATGAGACAAGGGTGTCCTCTAACCCTAACTCTTTTTATTTTGAGCACTGAGCCTTTTCTTAAGACTAACCTTGACAAACTCGGCATTCCAGTTGGGCACCAACGTTTCAAAATAGCAGTGCATGTTGATGATTTGTTATTCACTGACCAACCAGATAAAGTCCTCCCTGCTATCATTCTGAAATTAATGCAATTTGACCTTCTACTGAACCTAAAAATTTATTAAATCTGAAATCCTAATCCTCATTAACATACTCTTTAGTGGTATTTTCCTTTCCATTTGGTGCTCTTATCCTATTAGATATTTAAGCACCCATATCCTTTGTCGCAGACGTTCAAATAACATTTCCTGCCGCTCCTGCATACAGTGCAAAAAGACTTGCGGAAATGGCCCCTTCTCCATATCACCTGGCTGGGAAGGGTGGGGTGGTTAAAATTAATATCCTCCCCCAAATGTCTCTATTTCCCAGAGATCCTGCATATCACAATTCCTAAGTCTTTTTTCACTGAAGTGAAATCAACTTTTATTAAACAGACACTCTATGCACCTAAAGCACTTTAGCTTACTGAAGTGTTTTATGTGAGAAGTGTGTCCTCTTGTTGCATTTTACAGAAAGTGCAAATTGCAATAGATATTGGCACATTTATAAATTAACCTTGTTACACAGCGTGGCTGTCAATCAAACAGTTCTGTTACTTCCTGGCTTGGTTAGCTCACTGGAGCTAAACTCAAGACGCAGCAATAGCTCAGGGCACCTGCCTTGCAAAGACTTCCCTTTGAGCTGTATTGTGAAGTCTGTGGCTGGGGAAGAAGGTGAGAAGGTAAAGGCTTGCAAAGGTTGCAGACAGGAGATCTGCATCTTTTGCAATCTGGTTTTAGATATACCCACAATGAAATATTGCATAACTAAATGCATGCATGTTTTCACTGAGTGTACATTTACTATATTGTTCAAAAATAAAGTAATGCTCCTTTACTTCCATTACCATCAGTTGCAGCATTTTGCCTCTCATGCCACGCAGAGCCCCCAGACATCTAGGCTTCCAAACGTATCTGATAACTTCTGCCTAGTCTAAAACCCACAAGCCCATGCATTGCCTTGCTAAATGCACTGATGTCAACCCCAGCCAAAGATGCTCCTCTCACCTATTTTACCAGCTCTTGGGAAAGAGGCCTAGGAATGACTTTAGAGACAGCTCAGTGTTTACGCTCACACAAGTCTTCAAACAATGAATCTGGTTATAAATTAATAATAGATTGGTACTACATCCCAATTTAACTTTCCCGCCTTTTCTCAGATGTAAGCTGAGATTGCTAGCGTGGTGACCAAGAACTGTTCACGCTGACCCACATCTGGTAGGGCTGCCACTTATCGGTCTGTTTTTAAGAGAAGTCTCATAATGTAGCAGATTTCAGCCTCATTCTTTATATACTTTTTACCATTTATTGGTTAAATGATATTACAAGAGGGGTTGACTATATGCTCCTTTGTGTTTATAGTTTTCAATCCAACAAACTACTTGTCGGCACAAAATTAGGTCACCTCACGGGTCTATAAAAATCCCATGAATTTAAAAAATGCTTTAGCAAACGGAATCAGTATAGACTACACATGAAATACACCAAAAGCCGTCACACTATGAGGCACATACAAGATTCATGATTATGGCACCTCAAAAGTGTGCAGCTAGTTGGTTATCAGGTAGTATAGATGTTCTAAAACTTAAGGGTGTATGGTAATAACTCTATACTGCTGTCACCTTGTTTTTAGACTTTTAGCCAGTTGCAAAACATTAGGGAAACTGGTGAGGAAGTGGTGATGGTGTTACCATTTCTTTGACTAATCAGGTGGCGTTAGAAATAGGGGAAGGTTTGAAATGAGTAAATTTCCTTATAAAGACATACATATGATTTTTTTTTTCAAAATCGTGTCGCTTCAAGTCACTTCCTTCTTTAAACCACAAAATAAAGTTTAACTTGCTTCTCAGATCACACACAAGCACATTTTCAAGATAACCTTCTGCTTTCTGCCTCTTCCAGCCTACAGATTACTTAAGGTAAGGCATATTTACCAGCATGCTGGGAGAGTCATTTAAATTCAGTATCCATGTACCTGCAGTTCCAGGGCTTTGTTGAGATGCCTATTTAATGGGTTGGAAGTCATAATTTTTATACATTTTAAACTGCCAATTTGTCGCTTCTTAATGCAGGAAACCATACAACTCTGCAGTTGCACAGGAAGCCTGTGGTCAGCTAACAGAGCAGCATCAGTGAGTGAGCAGTTATCTGATGGAGTTAATGTTAATTTGCTAAGGGTTCTCCAAAGATTGGTACAAAACAAGAAATCTCCAACACTGAATGTATTTCTATTTAGATTGTGTAGAAAGAATTACTGTTAAACATGGTATGAGCTGAACTACTGTATGATATAGTCTCCTTAGAATCTCTAAGGAAATCAGGAGGATTCTCTATCATGAGTGGACGTTGCTTCCAATTTATAATTTATAACACAGAGAGTGATTTTGTTTTTAGCACTTTATCTCAACCGCTTAGATTGTTCTTTGCCAAATGTGCATGTAATCTAAAGCATGTACATCCAAATTTCTGATTCGTCTTTTTGATTCTGATGTCATTATAGTGAGATAAGATTTCATTAAGATTTTATTAGACTAGCTAGACAAAACATGAGAGGAACTGGAGATATAGACATGTCGAAATGTTGTACTTCGTTCCTCTTGCAGTAGGTAGAATCTACTTGAGAAAGGAGAGAATGTTCTAGAATGACTTGATGCTTAGGTGAGTCTCCACCCTTCTCTTACTATGAATAAGAAAAGGGGAATATTTCAACATCAGCTAATTTGGAGTTGTATTCTGTTCCAGAGATAATGAAATACCCAATTTATAATGAAGTGTAATGCAAAGTAGAGAATTAAAAAGCATTGCGTAAATGTATCTCAGGTATTAGAATCCAGCACTTGAGTTCTATTTAGAAGATTAAATTATAATCTTCAAAAGTAAACAAAACTAAAAAACTAACAATTATCATGACTTTAATTGGTCCGTCAATTCTTAAATATAAAAAATTATGTTTTCCAATATAATTGAATACATCAACATTATATCGAATTGGGCTTATTTATCCTTTGCTGAATTTCCCCTCAATGCCTCATAAATAATCCCTTTATAAAACTATAGTATTTGTGTCAAAATAAATATAGCTAGCATATATAATATTACACTAATATAACTGAGTCTAATAATATTAATTGTATCTTGGGCGTGGCTTCAGTATTATATGCAGTGGTTTCAATAACGTAACTAGCGTGATTTTTACATGCCTTTTATGATATATACTTATAAATCATGAAATATTGCAGAGAATCTCTATTTTATAGTACTCAATATTTATATATATATATAGAGAGAGATAGATAGATAGATAGATAGATAGATATTAAAACTATACCATTTGTATTGTAGCTTCATGTCACAACAGACAACGTTTCAGCTCAACATGTGAACTTTCATCAGGACATACATTATTATGCCCTGATGAACATGTTCATCTGAAACTTTGACTGTTTTGGCATGAAGCTACACAAAAAGATTTTCAACAGCAAAGACCCTGAGTTCCGGTGTGGTTTGAATATTTATAAAATGTGTTACCAGGCACCGGGGGTTTGGATTAAGTTGATGCTGGAGTGCAGAGCTATTTGTATATATTATACAACTCCCTTGATACTTTGTATACCTTTGTAATGCTTTTAGGATGGTAAAGCATAATGGAAACTGTAATTTTGAAAGATCTTGGGATCTACCTTTTGGACACCCCTATTATACACATATCTATTAAAGGAAAATTGGAGATATTCCATCAGTTTCCACTGAGAGTTTTTCCAGTATAACATTTTGTCCTATAATTACTCTACACGTGGCTTGATAATTATGGACATTGGAAGGCAGGAGATCTCTAATTACAGTTACTCTTAGGAAACATTGTATGTATCTGCATGACCACTATTGTAATTTGCAAGTCATCTGTACTGGCTGAAATCAAATATACACAAAAAAAAAAAAAGATTTAAGGTGTATTTTTTTTTTTTAAAGATACAACTCACTCCAGATAGGCGTTACCCATCAGACAATGAAATAACAAGAGGAACATCAAGGCTGGGGGACTTTGACATTACTATGTTTTAAATGACACCATGATGTGCACATATTTTCCTTTCTGGGAAATTCCACGCTCTCACTATATTTTATTTAAATCTGAAATATACTAACCAAAGACAATTGCTGATAAGTGTCCAAACTGTCTACTGATCAGAGGTATTTCTGAAGCATCACCCTACTTTTCGTAGTCATAATGAGCTTAGGAGTTTATAGACTGCTATTCAAACAGGAAGTAGAAATAGATATAATTGTAGATTCATTAATTTAAAAATCCGTGCATCTCATGTTATATCAAAAGCAGTCACAGATGTGAGAATGAGTGAACCCTCTTTTCATCTTACATCATACCCTCAAAATCGGCATTCTGTGAAAAGGGAAATTGTTAGGCGGGATAAAAGGGAGAGGGCAAGTGATGCAAATCCCATCTGATGCTGTACAAAGGGATGGACCTACCCGCAAAGGAATGGGTCCACATGAAGAATAGGCATACCTACCTGGCATGAATGCACACCTGGCTGCCTGCAAATCAAGCACATTGAATGATGCATGAGAGCCACACTTTCTACAGAAAATTCTGTGGTGTCCTTTAAAAGTGGGATACCAGTAAAAAAAAGTTGAAATTAAAGGACAAGACCCTAACATAACTAATTAAACTAAATTAGGCACTCAGGATTGCTTCAGGAATACAGGTTTATTGTAACAAAAACTGCAACGTTTTAGCCTACACAAACTTGATAAAGGCTCTGTGTAGGCCAAAGCGTTGCAGTTTTTGTTACAATAAACCTGCCTTCCTGTAGCAATCCTGAGAGCCTGGGCCTAATTTATTGTATCTACTAAACTGAGTTTTCCCAACCCTGGCCCTGATAAGCACCTGGATTCCTAAATGTGAGTGTGGTATCCTCCGTTTGTGAATTCCTAACATAAGTACTGTCCAGCAGAAATAAGAGCTATTGGGACGCCTGTAAAACTTTACTATAAAAATATATTATATGGGAGTGTTATTGCAGTTGCTGGTAATGTCACAGTAACAGTTCCTTTGCGCTTATTAACATATTTAAGCTTTCCAGTTGACAGTATAAGCCTTGTGGAATGACAATGCCAACCAGAGCAAGGAGACAAAAACGAACAACACTTCTAATCAGAGGCCACATCCATTGTTGACAGGTGCATACAAATACATATACATGCTTTATAGGCAGATGTTGACAGTAGATATTTAATAATGCAGAGCTCATTAAATCTTAAAAATTATCTTATAAAGGGATGTCACATCTTCGAAAAACTAATTTGTTAATATAAGGATTTGTTGCAGTTGTACTTTAAAAAACAGAAGCTATCATTGTAAAGTGGGAACATTTAGGAGTGATAGCAGCTCAGCCATATAGTGGTAGGCCACACATGCTTGCAAAATGGGACTATTGACTGTTGAAGCACATAGTGTGTGCAAATCTTCTCTACGTAGTTACAAAACTCACTGGCTAGTTGCACATTACCCTGGCGGTGGGAGGGGGAATCTTGGAGCAAGAACTTGTGAAATTGGTTTCTATGACAGAGCACTGACATGCAGTACAAGGCTAAAATCACCTTTTGCAATGCCAGTGGTTAGGGAGAGTGCTGTACTGATCCCCACCTTTGGATTTTGGGGCAGGAAAATGCATTTTGTGGAGTGCCCAATCAGGCTTCATGATATGGCAGTCTGATCAAAAACTGTGCGCTGGTTTGGTGGAGGGCTCTACCTGCTGGATTGCATTCTTGGTGGAGGAGGAATAAAGGTGATTTTTTTTATGGTTTAAGCCAGGCCGTGTGAAGGGGCCTACACCACTAATACTAATATTTAATACTGAACACCGCAGGCACTTAAAGCTGACATAGAATTTTCATTAGCATTTACAAAGAGTGTATAAGCAATGAGAGCACTGTGAACCCAGCTAGTGTTACTGTTTAGATCATGGGTCGTCAACCTGGTCCCTACCGCCCACTAGTGGGCGTTTCAGGATTCCAGGTGGGCGGTAGGGATTTCGGCGGCTAAATCCTCTTTTTAGGAGGATTCTCCTTTAGGACGGGCGCGAGCGGCTCTGCGGGCGCAAGTTTTCAGTGACCGGCAGGTGGAAGTGCACCCTTCTGCCAGGCCACCTTCTGGACCCGCAGGTGCGGCTGTGTGCTAATCAGACGTGGCGAGGGATCTCTAACCTCTCTGCACTGCTCCCTCGCGCGATATTTGCTGATGCCGCGGGAGCCGGAATATGACTTCATATTCCGGCTCCCGGCATCAGTAGACAGCCCGCGAGGGAGCAGTGCAGAGAGTTTAGAGCTCCCTCGCCGCGTCTGATTAGCACACAGCCGCCCACCGAAGTGAAGCCCTACTGGACCCCAGGCACAGATCCAGGTAGGGAGGCTGGGTGGACATTTAATATTAATAATTTGTGTGTATATGTGTGTGTCTTTAAGTGTGTGTGTGTGTTTCTGTAAGTGTGTGTGTGTGTCTGTAAGTATATGTGTGTGTGTCAGTAAGTATATATGTGTGTGTGTGTGTCTGTAAGTATATGTGTGTGTGTGTGTGTGTGTGTGTGTCTGTAAGTATATGTGTGTGTCTGTAAGTATGTGTTTGTGTCTGTAAGTAGTTGTGTGTCTGTATCTGTGTCTGTCTGTGTATGTGTGAGTGACTGTAAGTGCATGTGTGAGTATGTGTATGTTTGTGTGTATGTGTTTCTATGTGAGTGTGTGTGTCTGTAAGTGTATGTGTGTGTGTGTGTGTTTGTCTGTGAGCAGAGTACTTGTAGAATAGAAGTAAGAAGAAGCAGAGTATTTGTAAAAAGGAGAAAGAAGGTGCAGAGTACTTGTAGAATAGGAGAAAGAAGGAGTAGAGTACTTGAAAAAAAAGGAGAAAGAAAGAAAAGGAAAAGGAGAGAATTGTTGTTGACTAATAACAGTAAGTGGGCTACCTAGCTCAGCCTTCCTACTAGGCATTGCTATAATGAAGGTTAAAAAATAGAAAAAAGGAAGAAAAAAAAGGTGGGGAGGGGAATTGAGGAGGGGAGCTGACGCACAGATGAGAAATCATTTTATGAGCAAACAGAGAAGTCTTCTGAATATCACCGAAAGAGGAGACCTTCGTTTGTTCCTTACGAAAATCGAACCAAATATCAAATATTTAGTCTTGCAGCATCAACCTCAAGGATCTCATTAATCACTAGAACAGGTAATTTCAATTTACTTTATTGTTTCCTCATTAAACTTTATAAAGTTAAAAACAGTATAAACATGCATAAAGTAGAAATAAAAAGATAAATGTCCGTACATTTATTTAATTTTTTTAAAACACCCTCCTTTCTAAAAAATATTCTGCGCTTGCGCGAAAACTGGTGGGCGGTAAGGAAATTTTTCCACCAAGAAAGATGCATTAGTGGGCGGTAAGTGGAAAAAGGTTGACTACCACTGGTTTAGATAGATCTAATATTGCAATACAGACAGGGAACAAACATTTTTATGGTCCGGATAGCAAGAGGTCAGGGCTGACAGCAATGGTTAGTTTACTATATATAAAAAAAGATCTTAGTCACAAGTATAGCAAAGACAGGATACAAGCAGGGCTGAATTTACCCTCCTTGCTGCCCCAAGGCCAGTTTCCTTAATGCACCCCTACCATATATATAGTGTAGATTGGATTAGCCGTATTAGTCCAGTAGACAAGATGCCAAAATAACCAATAATAGTGCAGATAGCCAGACACTTAGTGTAAGACACACAACAAGGATATGTGGGATCACGCTCACATTTGCTAGAGCTATAGACCAGCTCTGAGTAAAACAATGTACAGCGGTATAATCCCCACCAATGGATATGTAGCTCCTTAGAGGTCAGTCACACAGCATTCTGATGAGCAAAGACGGGTAAGTGTGTCTTACACTAAGTATCTGGCTATCTGCACTATTATTAGTTATTTTCCATTTTATTACATATACGTAGCACCAACTGAAGCCTAGACGAATCCAAGCCAGGATCTTCCAAATAATTGGACTTAATACACACAGTATTCAGCGCAACCTGTTTTTTGTGTTTTGCTTCTTTCCAGTAAGGTGTTGGGGGTATTCCTTACTTTCAGTGTTTGCTGCTTAATTTATTGTTTATATTAATTGATCCCATAGGGCTTATCTTATGTTTTGTACTTGCAGTAAGCAATGATACCTTTTTTATTGGACTAACATAATATCTCAAAGAAAAGCTTTCGAGAGTTTTCCTCTCTTAATCAGGTCTTCCACCTTTGGCATTTTATATATATATATATATGGGGTACATTGAGGAAACTGGCCTTGGAGCAGCAAGGAGTGTGGATTTCTGTAAACTTAAGTTTTATTTTATTGCCACACTAGCTCAGCTTTTAAGTTGATCTATTTACACAGTAGATTCTGATGATTTAAGACTGATTTTGTAGGACTAAGGCCAAAATAGCTTTTAAGGTTGGAAACATTCCACTATTTAGCCATTCATCAAATTTACCCTTTCCTTTTCTGTCCCAATACCCACATTCATTTTCAGTTCAACTATTTACTAAATAGATTTCTGGAATAGTGACACTAGATCTTCTGTGGACAACAGCTCACATCAACATGAGTTGTTTGATGTGCTGCACGGTTATTTGTGAAATCACAGACATACAATACAATTAAAATTCCAGTATGTATTCAGAGCCATAATTTTATGATAAAAATATCTGAGCTGAAATAATACATGTATTCCCATTTTAAATTCTTGATTTTTTTTCATTCCACATATAAGTGATATACAAATAGCAATTAGGTAGATTAAATATGCATTCACAGTAACATCAGTAGAAGAATATGTGGAATGGGTTTTTAGAAGGTAGGGTAAGACATAAGAAACATAAACAGTTGTCTCATTAGTTTGCCCCTCTCAGGTGAGTGATATAACTGATGTTGGTAGCTCGTTGAGAGTGATAGTAAAACCCTGCAGGCATTTATCACCCACTATATTTCTCACTTGTAGGCTATGGATTTGTTGTAGTGTGTAGGAGGGGTGGGGGGTGTTCCAAGTGAGTGTAACAGCCCATGAGTAATGGCTCTGTTATAAGCAGGGAGTAATATTTAAGTTGCCTTATTGCATATTAAAACAAGCGTTAAGACATAGAAAATAATCAAATAGAAATTAAGTAAACATATGTAATCAACATCTGTGTGGTTATATGCGAAAGGAACTGTGGTGTTAAGACTTGGAGGTCCTCCAGACGACATGAGGGCTTAGGTATGTCACAGCCCTTCAGGTTTTTCCAAGTAGAGGTGCCGTGCGTTGAGCTGTTCGCAGTGTAAATTCCACAACCGATGATGGGTCTATTCGGCTCAGCAATGCCCAGCTCGACTAGGTGCGACTCCAGTTCCGAAAAGTTGCGTTCTCGGTAGGCATTGAAATGTGAGCATTTTCGGTGTCCCCAGCGGTATGGTACTCCTTTGTTACGGAGCAGTAGCAATAGCGGTCGGAAGGCCCTGCGCCACTCGATGGTGCCTCTGGTTAGGTCTGGGAATAGCATTAGTGTAGATAACTCAAATTGTAGGGGGGTTTTGCCTCTGGCGGCCGCCAACAGATGTGTCTTATCTTGTTGCAATTGGAAGCGGACTGCGATGTCTGGCTGAGTGGTCGTCAGTGCCGTCTTCGGCTTTGGCAGTCTAGTCTTACCTCTTTGGCCTGTTTAGGTGGTAACAGCTTGTGGAACAGGCGTAGAACAAAGTGAGCCAGGCTGACAGGCCTACAGAATCCGGGATACCGCCTATCTTTAGGTTACATCACCTTGTTTGATCCTCAAAAGCATCCAACTTGTCGTTGGTGGCCTGTTGTTGTTGCTGTATAGCATCCGGTTTGAGCTCCATGGCGGTAAGCTTAGAGTTGTGCATGCTTGAGGTAGCCTCAAGCAAGGTGATCTGAGAGGCGATGAATGCAATTGCATCTTTAATGCCTGTCATGTCTGCTGCGATGTGAGTCCAGAGCTCCGCTAGCATACTGGTTCTCCCTTTGGTCGAGTTGTTAAAGTTTGGGTATGGTAGGAGACTTGCACATAGCCCCTTCCCCCAGGTCGAATTCCAAATCCTCTGAGGAGTAGGATGATGCATCCTCGCTCATCGCCATTTTGTCCGATGTTGGCCTTTGCAAGCTCCACAGTAGCTCACCGATAATATGGCAAGTAGAGCCTTTGTCTGCCTTTGGTTTTGTGTTTTTTCGACCCATGTCTATCTGCGTCATGTGAGGGGTTTTCCTACTAGGTTCGTGCCCAATTACCACTCCAAAACCTCTGTTTTCCTTTCATAAAGCAGAGAGCTAGAGGCAACACGTCTGCTTTGTTCGGCTGCTAGCTCCGCCCCCCACCCTATTGTTGAATTGTTAAAAGTATGTGATTTTTAATTATGTCCAAGAGATAATCAAACACCATGCTCCTCAAGCTTTCACATTCTTGTGCTATAAAAACAACCAAGCATATTATAGATTTGATAAAAAATAAGGAACTGCTGAAATCAAGTTACTCTGGCATACTGATAACATTTCACAATAACAAATTTGCTAACTATCATTTAATAACAGAATTAATTTAATTGTATACATAGTATGTACTGTATCATATCACAAGTGCATTTGAAGGATAAAATATTTGGGTATTCTTTGATATTTGTTGGTTCATTCACAATTGCTACTAAGAAGAAATAAATAAATTATTTTGCCATTCACCCCAATATGTGATAGTTATTATGCAATCCAGGGGTGCCAAACTTCAGTTTTCAAAGGTAACCAATGGAAGAACAATGCGATGATGAAAATTCCTTGGTCTGACTTATGTTATTTTTTAAAACGTCTCTGCATTGGCACATATTAAAGGAACACTATAGGGTCAAGAATACAAATATATCCCTGACCCTATAGTGTTAAAAACACATGTAGGGTCCCTAACCCACCCTTGCTACCCTTAAATAAGTAATAAAAATTACTTTTTTCCAGCTCTGTTCGGTTCTGCCGGAGCTGGCCCCACCCTCGATCGGCATCCTTCATGACATCATCAGAATTGATTATCTCAGCCAATCACAATACTTCCCTATAGGAAAGCATTTGATTGGCTGAGATTGTCAATTCTGATGATCTCAGTCAATGAGGCGGGGTGGGGCCAACGTGCAGTAGCCAATCAGCATTCCTCTTAGAGATGTATTGATTTAATGCACCTCTATGAAGAAAGTTCAGTATCTCCATGCAGAACATGGAAACGTTGAATGGCAGTGTGTGCAGCACTGCCCCAGGAAGCTCCTCTAGTGGCCGACTGAGAAGTGGCCTCTAGAAGTGTTCCTAGGATATAATGTAAACACTGCCTTTCCTCTGAAAAGGCAGTTTTTACATTAAAAAGTCTGCAGGCACTGACTATAATCACCAGAATAACTACATTAAACTGAAGTTGTTCTGGTGACTATAGTGTCTCTTTAACTGGAAAAGTTAGGTGAGTGCCACACAGGGACGGCGCTCCCTATAGGCAAAGTAGGTGGCTGCCTAGGGTGCTGCTTAAGGGGGGTGGCGCCGGCCCTGGCTTTATGTTTGTGCCGCGGCCGCCCCTCCATCAACTTAGATTATTATGAGTATGCTGCTGGCCATTTTACCGGGCGCTCGGAAGCACTTATATTGTTGTCCGGCGGCATACTCAACAAGCTTTAGAGACAGGTTCCTCCCAGGCATCCATTGCGGCAGTGGGGGCAGCGCGCGGGCGCTTGAATTCCTCGCTTCCGCCCCTTCCCTTGTATGTGGAGAGAGTTGGGCAGGAGCATAACAGGAACAGGAAATATGCTGAGAAAGGACTAGATGGGGAGCCAGGTGCTGGCAACGAATAGCAATGAAGGTAAGGTATGTCAGAGAATATGTATGTCAGTCTGTATGGGTCAGTGTGTGTGAATGTCATGTGTATAATGTCTGTATGGGTCAGTGTGTGTCTGTATGGGTCAGTGTGTGTGAATGTCATGTGTATAATGTCTGTATGGGTCAGTGTGTGTCTGTATGGGTCAGTGTGTCTGTCTGTATGGGTCATTGTTTGTTTGCATGGGTCAGTGTGTGTCTGTATGGGTCAGTGCGTGTCTGCATGGGCCAATGTGTGTGCCTGCATAGGTCAGTGTGTCTATATGTGTGTGTCTGCAATGGTCAGTGTGTCTGTGTATATATGTCTGCATGGATCAGTGTGTACATATGGGTCAGTATGTGTCAGTCTACATGGGTTAGTGAGGGTGTATCAGTTTGCATGGTCAGTGTGTGTGTGTCAGTTTCTATGGGTCAGTGTGTCTATATGTGTGTGTCTGCATGGGTCAGTGTGTTTGTCTCTATGTGTGTGTGTCTGCATGGGTCAGTGTGTCTGTATGTGTGTGTCTGCATGGATCAGTGAGTGTATATGAGTATGTGTGTGTCAGTCTACATGAGTTAGTGCGTGTGTGTCAGTTTGCATGGTCAGTGTGTCTACTTGAGCCAGCGTGTGTGTTAGTCTGCATGATTGGGTGAAGCAAATGGGGCGGCAAATTTGTTGTCGCCTAGGGTGCCAAAAATGCTTGCACCGGTATGGTGCCACAGGGAACATAACTTTTCAGACTTAGAACCTATCTAATGAGGGTCCTATTGTAACATATATAGTGAGGTCCTGCACCTCAAGGTCACATGGAAACAGAATTTTAGTTTCAAGGTCACATGGAAACAGAATTTTACTTTCAAGGTCACATGGAAACAGAATTTTAGTTGGTTTAGTTTAATGTTTTGAACATTATTCAAAAACTTGACATTTACCAATATTTCCAAGGACACTTTTTGAAGGGTTAATCAAAGTTGACAGCACTTTCATATCACTTTCATGTCTAATTGTCAGCAAATATTTAAAACAAGTTATTATAGCGATTCTGTCACCTTTGGGGTTCTTTGCATATGTTGGAAAGATCCCCAATGGCAAATTGATGCTGCTTGTGTGGTGGCCTTGGAGTGCAGGGGAAGGTAGGTTACACTTACTTGAATCTGTCCGTCGCAGTCATCGCCATCTTGATCTAGTGCATGTGTGAGAGTACAACACTGATGTCTATGGAATATCTCACAAGACTGCAGAAGCCTTCATAGACAAACCCATTTCCCCCTCAGCCACTTTAAATCTGGAATCCCATTTCTTTTTTTTATGGTAATAATGACAGCATAATCATGTGCTATTGGCAAGTTTGTCCTCGTTTTTAGAGAAGTACCATAATTATTCAAATGTATATAACTGTAAATAAGTTATCCTACTGATAAAATACCAAAGAACTCCTTTTACTTATGGATTGCATGCTGTAAGTGTATAGACAAAAGTGGATTATACACTGTAATAGTATAGAAATTAATCAGAAATGTATGGGGCAATGCAAAAGTATAGACAATGATCAGAAATCATACACTGTAAAGGAACAGAAATTATCATAAATGTCTGTATTACCTTGACACGAACAGTTAAACTTTGTATAATTAATCACTATTAAGCTCTCTGTAGTGATTATGGTGCCTGGAGTGCCTTGGTGTTCTCCCAGACTAATTTGTCAAACAGTTTAGGAAAAGTCTCACAACTTATCTGGGCCCCCTCGGACTCTGGGAGCTCATGGCTTCAGTAGATATGGTGTTTGTGAACGCCTAGTCTGCTCTCCATAAACTTTAATTCTTTACAAATTCCTATAAACAATTTCACATAGTCATTTAAATAATGGATTAAAAATATAGAATGTGATGCCAGATAATGGCATAATTATAGAACTGAATGTAAAGACCATCACAGAAACAAACAGACAATCCAAATAATGAATAATAAATTACAATAAATAACGATATACATATGTGTTACATTGTGTATTTCATTCAGGGGTGCACAAATAAGCAGAAAAAGATGGCATCAAAGACACCAGTTACAGAGGAAGAAATGGAGGAGCTCAGAGAGGAGTTTACTAAAATTGGTAAGTCTTCATATTTGAATTATTTATTGGTAATGGAACTCACAGTATTGCAGAACTATAAGCCATATATTTTGATTATACAGAAAAACAACTTTCAAATGCAATATTTCATTACTGTCTCTTACGAATTCTCAAAAATTACTGCTGACCACGACTTTATCTCAACTAGTCTGAAACATCACTACACAATGACCCACACAAACAAACAACAAAAAAAGTAACTTTTTTATCCTTTACACCATCTCCTTCATTTTTAAACTATAAATTTATAATAAAGGCAAATGTGAAAGCAAAAAAAAATAAAAAATCACTCAAAATAGCTTTTACTGTTTTTGCACAATTTCATAGTTTGCTTTCTACATATGCATAACACTTTCAAATAGACAGTTTTACAGTGTAAAACAAGGCCAACACGGGCCAAATAAACAAGGTTTACATTTATGTGAGCTGCAAAAAAAAACCCAAAACTGCTGCTAACTTACTAATTTGACTGTTTTGGCCCAAATTTTAATATTCACTCTGAATTCACTTTCAATTAACAGCAATTCCCACTCTAGTAATGGGAATATTTGAACAGCACCTGCATGTATTCATGGCCATGATATATTAATTCACGAAAATGTAGCCTCCGGGCACGATTATAGATGTCTAGTTGATAAATGTCAAAAACAGCAATAGTAAGAAGTCATTGATACCAAATGGGGAAGCATCACTTCTCTGGAAATTAGACAATTAAATCAAATATTGGAAATCCCATATGACCCATATTACATGTGTGACGAGACCAATCTCGCCACTGTGCTTTGGAGGATTCTGGTTGCCTGCCTGCTGCCTTTTGACTATGGACCGGCATTTCAATACTTTATTTTCCTATGCAGAAAGGTCTATTCATGTATTTCTGCCCGGGTGTTCGGTAGATTCTATCTACCGAACAAACAGCCGTCTATTGGCCTCCCAGGAGCCGTGGTTAGCTGGCAGATGCCGTTAATTGGCCGCCCAGAACCCGGCAAGCGCCGCCAATTGACCACCCAGTAGCTGCGGTTAACCGCAGCTTAATTGACTGAACACTGGATGGCTGCAGTCTGCAGTTCACACGCGGCCGGTTCATTCACGGATTTACTGAATGAACACATTTAACCCAGATAGCTATGCCATGGAGCCTATTCGTGTAATAAAAGACTTTGGCTCCATGGCAATTGAACTGTATGTGTGTAGTCTGAGCGCCATTCAGTAATAATGTGCGCTCAGACCTAAGCTATCTGGGGATATGTTGCATGTTTGTATTTTATGTAACAAATGTAACCTTGTGTATTTTATTGTATTTTACTGTCTTTTTACTGCCATGTGCTTAATGGAGTTTTGCCTCTGTCCTTGGAGATAATTGGATTACTTCCCAATTATCTCCAGGATAGAGAGGAGGGATTGTGATGTCATTGTGGGAGTGTTTATCTGTGTTGTATGTTTTGATTGGATGTTCCACAAAACCCTGTGGGTAGGACTTTGTCTGTAAAATGTGTATATAAGGCCAATAAAGACACAGCTCAGTCTGTTCCTGTTTTGACCCTCAACAAGGAGCCTTGTCTCGTTCTATGGTTTTTCCTATTTGGCTGTTTACAGCATTCGTATGTTTGAGAGCATTCATATGCTTCTCCGGTTCAGTGGATTGGTGTCTACAGTAGCTGCCTGTATATCTGGAAGGGAATATCTCCTAAACGGCTTTTAACCCCTTTTATGCCTGGGACAGCCGTTACAACGTGATTGCTTTTTAAATGTATTTTAATGACATTGCAATCCAGTTCAGTCCTGGCACAGCCAGGGCACCTATTGTATTAGATAAACAGAAGCAATCTCATTTGTTCTCATTTGGTTAGGGCCCTTTTCACCGCTTTCCTGTCAACTTTATTTTGTCTGTAAAACACTTGCTGTAGTTGTATAATTGGAAAGTGCAGTTTGATATGTTGGCACTATATTTATATAAATAAATCAATACATCATTATATCAATAAAATAGAATATAAAGTAACTTAATATTTAAAATCAGAGTAAATAAAATTTCTCTTTTAAGGGATAAAAAGTCTATTTAATATTTGCTTGTTAAGCATATTCAAACCTCTAGGTCTATCATATAAATAATTACAAATATTCACTTTTTTTTTTCTAGATACTGATGGCAATGGTTATATAAGTCCTAATGAATTGAGTGATATGTTCAAAGCTGCTAACTTGCAACTTCCTGGATACAAAGTGCGGGAAATCATTAAAAGCTTCATGGAGACTGGAGACCAAAACAGGGATGGAAAGATTAGTTTTGATGAATTTATTGCTGTAAGTTTCCACTGGCCTAGGAGATCCAATAAGTTCCATGTTGATGAACCTCATGCAAGCAATTTAACTTTATTGTTCTGGTATTTTGTCCCATTTATATGCGGTGTTCCGATACCATCTGTCTTCTCTGTGTAGGGATGAACAAATGACAATGAAAATAGCTGTCTGTGGTTATGTATGTGGAGTGAAGAGGAACTTTTTATGATCTCTCTCCCCTATAATATATGCCATTGTTAGGGTTGATTGCTGCACCCACTTTAACCCCTTAAGGACACATGACATGTGTGACATGTCATGATTCCCTTTTATTCCAGAAGTTTGGTCCTTAAGGGGTTAAATGAGCTGGTGTTTTCAAATAGCACTTATGGTCCACAAACGAAGTGGAGTGGTCAAGGGCATTATGGCATATTTGTAAGGTCCCAAGTTCCACTTTGCAGGGGTGCATTTCCACTCACTGATGGCTAGTGGGAAAGTTTGGGAAAGCGCTATGTAACCATACAGTACATAAACAGTTGTCATTTTTTTCTCCTAATATTCTTAGGTTATTCATGATCTTAAAAGCTCAGATGTTGCTAAAACATTTAGAAAAGCCATAAACAAGAAAGAAGGGATTTGCGCAATTGGTGGCACATCTGAACAGTCTAGTGCTGGTACCCAACATTCATATTCAGGTAAGAATTTCCCAAATCTTTATTGATTAGAATAATTAAAGGGACACTATAGGCACCTAGACCACTTCATCTCATTGCTCCTGGGTGCATCATCCCCATCCCACTTAGCACTGCAGTCTACCAAACAGCCTCTAGAGGCGCTTCCTGCTGTTTTATGAAGTTTGACATCTTGACCATGTTGTTAACTTGACAATGATCACATGTTGGTCAAAATGTTGATGCATCTGTTTGTATTGTACCTTCTTCTCTGAGTTATTGATTAAAGAAAGACTGAAGACCATATAGCTAACGAAAAGAAAGGAACTAGCAATTAGTTCAGTAATCACAAATGGTATGTCAAAACTACTGTGCTATGAAAGGCTTGTCTAACCCTTGTCATTATGGGGTTAACTGATAGAGCTACTGAATGTAGGATATTTTTTTATGGAATGCATTATGTGTCACAGAAGGTCATTAAAATATAGATTTTTTTTTTTTTTTTTTACTGTTACAGAAGAGGAAAAGTATGCCTTTGTAAACTGGATCAACAAAGCGCTGGAGAAAGATCCTGACTGCAAGCATGTTATACCCATGAACCCAGATACAGATGACCTATTCAAAGCAGTGGGGGATGGAATTGTACTTTGGTAAATTATCAGTTTTGTCTCTGACTCTGTTCTAAGAACATTTTCAATAATTAGCATTAGGGTTAAAGGGGCACCATAGTCACCAGAACAACTACAGCTTGCTGTATTTATTCTGGTGAGTATAATCATTCCCTTCAAACTTTTTGCTGTAAACAGTGTCTTTTCAGAGAAAATGCAGTGTTTACATTACAGCCTAGGGCATTGATGGCAAACCTGTGGCATGCGGGCATGCGTGCATGCGTGTGTGTCTGTCATGGTGTATGTGTGTGTCTGTGTGTGTTTTTAAAAATAGTGTTTTTACTCACCTTTTTTTTTTTCCAATGTCATGCTGGTCTCCCCTCGACTGGCTCTGCCTCTATGACTAAGATCACTAGGAAGCAATGTAAACACTGCCTTTTCTCTGAAAAGTCAGTGTTTACATTGAAAAGTCTGCAGGGACAGGCTATAGCCACCGGAACCACTACATTAAGCTGTGTGTGTGTGTGTGTGGGCGCGCGCCTGCTAGTGAGTGAGCTTGCTTGCATGTGTGTGTGTGTGTGTGTCTGCTAGTGAGTGAGTTCGTGTTTTTATGTCATTGAGCTTATGTATATCAGTGAGATTGTTTGTCTATGAGGCTGTGTATTAATGAGCTTTTGTGTGTCAGTGAGATTGTCTGTGTCTGCATGTGAGTATGCTTACTGTATAATTAAATGTTTTACTCTGAAAGGGCCAATATTTTATATGAGCAAAAGCAATATATATATATATCTATTTATATATATATATATATTACTCAATCATCATGGGTGGCAAGACATTGCCTTACATATTACATGCGACAAAATATGGCGCAATGACTTATGGGGCTGTCATAGATTTTTTTTTCAGGGCTGCTTTGTATCTCCAGTCCGGCCCTGCTGTGTCCCCCGTCTCCCTCCCCCCCCCATCCTCCCTTTCACCAGGTATGAAAAAGGGAGGGGGGAAACTGATATATTATACTTTTTAAATGTATTTCTTTAATGTAACACAGCACCACTAACCCCCCACACAGCACCCTACCCCCACCCACACACACAGCACACCTACCCTCCATGCACAGCATCCCTACCCCCCACACAGCACCCTTACCCCCACACACAGCCCACTACCCCCACACACACAGCACCCTTACCCCCACATACAGCACCCCTCCTACACACACACAGCACCCCTCCCCGTCACACAAACAGCACCCCTCACACACAGCACTCCACACACACACCCTTACACACAAACACATACACTGCACCCCTCAATGCAGTATATGTGTGTGTGTATTCAGCAGTCTTTATGTATTCAGCAGTGTGTGTGTGTGTGTATGTATTCAGCAGACTGTGTGTATATATTCAGCAGACTGTGTGTACTCAGCAGTCTGTGTGTGTGTGTACTCAGCAGTGTGTGTGTATGTATTCAGCAGTGTGTATGTGTCCAGCGGACTGTGTGTGTGTGTATGTTTGTGTGTGTGTATTTAGCGGACTGTGTGTATGTATTTAGCAGTCAGTCTGTGTGTCGGAGTGTGTATGTATTAAGCAGTCGGTGTGTGAATGTGTTCAGCAGTCTGTGTGTATGTATTGCATTTGTTGGAGATACTAATAATTATAAGCTTAAATTTACCTATTCATATCATTATTTAAAATTTGTATCATTGAACTGTCTGTTGTGTTCTTCTTTTAAAACAAAATATGTTAACTAGTTCGGACAACTGTACGAGTTGTTTTTTTCTAAACTTAAACCTCAATATTCAGGTTTAATTGCCATGTTGGCACTTTGAGGGAAAAAAAAGTTGGCATGTATTGCGGTTTGGGCACTTGGGCTTAAAAAGGTTCGCCATCACTGGCCTAGGGATACCTCAACTGGCCACTCCTCAGATGGCTGCTAGAGGTGCTTCCTGGGACAGTGCTGCACAGTATGCAGCACTAAACATCAGTGTCTCCATCCTCTGCATGCAGACACTGAACTTTCCTCATAGAGATGCATTGATTCAATTGATCTGTATTAAGAGATGCTGATTGGCCAGGGCTGTGTTTTGCTTGTGCTTGCTCTTTCCCTGAGCTCCCTACTTGACAGTCTCAGCTAATCCTATGATAAAGCATTGTGATTGGGTTCCGTTCAACACTTCTGAGGATGTCAGCCAACCAGACAGTTTAGGGGCAGAGCCAGCAGCAACAGACTGCAATATATTTTGCTATATTTAGGGCATCAAGAGGGTGGTTATAACACTATAGGGTCAGGAATACGTTTGTTTTCCTGACCCTATAGTGTTCCTTTAACCAGATATACAATGTTTCCTGGTCACTTAAAAGCTATTCATGTAGATCGATTGGCCTGTACTACATAACATTCAGATGCTGAAGTCGGGAAACCAATTAAAGAAACACTCCAGATACATAAATCACTTTAGTTTGCTGAAGTGCTTTATGTGTCTATCATTTTTTTTTTATATTATCAATGAGCCGTAATACATTGGAAAGCTGTGAAGCATGTGCACACTTGCAGCTCCAGCACAAAGGCTTTTCAATTAAAAACCACTGATTGGTCAGTCTGCAGCACAGACAGAAAGTCTGTACCTGGGATAAAGGGGAGGGCTTGCAAAGACTGCAGACAGCAGGTCTGCAGTTTTTTTCAAGCTGTTTGTTTCACAAACCCCCAAAGAAAACAAACCACAAAATACATACATGTTTTCTTTGGGGGTATATCTACTAAATATACAAAAAAAAAGAAAGAAAAAGAAACAATCAGTAGAATGTTCCTTTAACAAGGCAGTTCGTTGGAGATCCCTTCTTGATTAATGAACTGATCTCATCGCTATAGTATATGTATTCTCCATACGGTACCATATTATATAATATATATATCGAATGGTATGCTATAGCTATTTATTATCATTTAGAAAAGTGAAATCTTTACAGGGTTTATTCATTAAACACCAAATTGTAGTGAATTGAAGACCAATGTCAGTTTTTTTGCAAAATATCCTGTGATGTTAGTTGAGTTGGTGAGTTTTTAAAAATCAACACTTTTTAAGCATGTTTTGCTATTTTGTTTCAATCCATTAAAGTTCACTATAATAAGAGAAAAAATCAATTTTGTCTTTGAGGTTTTTAGTTTTTCCCCTCTAATAACAATTTAATAATGTGTTGTGTATGTTATCCATAGTTAATGCATCACTTGTTCTGGTTGGGTTACTATAATTATGTTATCATGATTAATATTGACCCCAGAAAATGTTCAATCTAAATATTTTTTAAAGAATATTTACATTTTATTTTCAGCAAAATGATTAACCTTTCTGTGGCAGACACCATTGATGAAAGAGCTATCAACAAAAAGAAGCTCACACCTTTTACCATCCAGGTATAGATGAAAATCAGGGGAGGAATATTAAATTAAAGAGCAATTGTCATTTTTTATATTATGTGTACTTATGCCATGTATTTATAAGGTTTGAAAATGTAACTTACATGTAGAAATCCCCACTCCTTTAACCTGCCACTGGGAGAATCCACCTTAGTGCCCTTTCAATGTTTGTTAACAGAAAAGGAGAACAGGAAAAAAAGGAGAGATTCATTCAAGATTGTTAAAAAGTGGCTCAGCTGTTTTCGTGCCAATATTTTGTTGTACTTTCTGTTTACTTTAATATTTTCCTTTGCGCCATTCGGACAAGTTGGTTCCCAGTATATAAAGTTGGAGGTAACAGTTTTATGCATAAGAAAATGGTGTGTTTTGATGATCCCTTCGTTATTGAGTTACTATTCACTTATCTGTAAATATTTTGCACATTGACATGGAAAGTGCAAATTTTGGGGTCAAAATAACCTCTATAAACATAGATAAATTGTAGAATAATTTACATTTGCCTTTGTTGGCCAAAAATCTCAATTGATGGTTTCGTGAATATACCACTATACATTTGTCGGAATAACTTTGCCTGCTGCCAGAGATACTGATTCTTCGCTACGCTTCTCAAAGGTGGATCATGAATGATCAATAATAGAGCTATGAAATTCTTAGCACTTATCCTATCTTTCGTGTTAGCTATATATTTGCCTAGCGTCATTCTTCAGGTTTTAGAATTGTGCATTTCAGAATTCTATCTCTATACGCATGCACTATTAACTATAAACAATTTATATTTTAACTGCTAGACCAGGTTGCAGGTGGTAATGCACTAACTCTAAGGTTCCTTAGTTAGACATTCCTTCTAGCATTGCCTTACTGTAAATTTGAAGATTACAACATCGTTGATTACCCCAGAGCTTCCGTTTTACAGGCACGTGAGGCAATTGTCTGGATTGCCAAATAAGGTCAACCCTGTCTGAAGCCATATCAGAGAAACATCTTTTTTATTTTCTCTGAGATGTAAACAAATGTGAAAAATAGAAGATACATAGTTGGAGTTGGATAAGATCTTTAGATCAGCTGGAAAATGTTTGTATGTTCCCTTGGCCTAAATTAGAAATACCCTTTGATACAGCTTTAAGGTTATTCACTACACGTCAAACTGTGTCAAGTTAGTGATTACAGCTCAGTTACAGAATTTCTCTAAATCAGCTATGTTTACTTGAAATTTGCAATTTTAATTTGCAAATCCACCTGGAGGTCATTGGTTAATGTCAACGGGAATACTTCAGAAATGTGAACGTGCTTACAAAGAAGTCTGATGGTTCTCATAATTTATCTGCCTGTCAACTGCTTTTCAATGTTGATGGTTAAGGTTTGCCAGAATATTAAGTGATTTTCGTCTAATATTTACATCTTTCTGCACAACCAGGAAAATCTGAACTTAGCTCTGAATTCTGCTTCGGCTATTGGCTGCCATGTGGTAAACATTGGTGCTGAAGACCTGAAGGAGGGAAAACCCTACTTAGTCTTGGGACTTTTGTGGCAAATTATCAAGATTGGCCTGTTTGCAGACATCGAGCTCAGCCGTAATGAAGGTGAGAAGGCGTATGTATGACAGTGTCACACTAAACAAAGATAGAAAAATGACTGGTTTGATTTAACCCCCTAAGGACACATGACATGTGTGACATGTCATGATTCCCTTTTATTCCAGAAGTTTGGTCCTTAAAGGGACACTATAGAAACTGAAACAACTTTAGCTTGATGAAGCAGTATGTTTAATATAGAATTTCCCATCTCCTGCTCTGTTAATTGCCTTTAGTGATCCTCTTGTATGTGATTGAAGTTCAATTTACAGAACAGGACGTAAAAACCTCTAAAGCAAGTAAACATCTGATTGAAAATGAAACCGTTTTACTAGTCTTGGTTGTGTTAGTCTAGCACTGCATAAACAAAGTGATTTAACTCCTAAATGGTAGATAATTGAGCAGTGAGATTGCAGGGACATGCTCTATACACTAAAACTGCTTCATTAAGGTAGAATTGCTTTGATGCCTATATTATCACTTTAAGGATGTGCCTGTTGCACACACAGTGAGTCAGTAAGATGGAACCAATATGCAAGTGCTTAGCTTCCACCAGCACCGGCCCGTCCATAGACCTCGGTGCTGTACCTGTCATAATCTAAAACAGGAGTTCCCAATCCATGGTGGCGGTACAGCAGCACCGCACGGGTTGGGAACCTGTGTGAGGGTCTATCGGGTGGCCCAAATGGGAGTATAGCGCTATTAAATCTAGGCTTACACCTCAACAGATTTAGGGAGATAAAGTTGCTTACATAAAATAAAAGAGAAGAAAAAACACTAATAGTGTAACTCTGTCAATAAAGTGACTCAGTGTAATAGGTATTGAATCCAAACTCACATTTTTCAGAGCCTTTTTAGATACAGGATTTAAATATCACACTTGTGTGCACTTCCCAGGTGACAACCAGACCTTTAAACTCTCCAATTTTTCAGATTATGGTGTCCCCAGCTGAGAAAAGCTTAATAATAACAGAATCTGGGTGTAGTATTTTTGCATTCACATGAATAAAGGAGATTGCAAATCTTATGGTAAAATTGCTCACCTTTTTCAGAGCCTGTTACCTGACTCTGAGTGTAAAAACATTGTATCAGCTTTTGGGGTGATACTGCCCCCTTTAAATTCAGGAATCACAGGGAAAAACCAAAGATTCAGGATCGATGTATAAATTCAAGTACTATATTTATTAAACAATAAAAACACAATAAAAAGTATAAGAAATTACTGATCCTAGAGTCCTTCTTTCGCCAAGACGCCTTTCACCCTCCGTGGGCTTTCTCAATCGGCATGTTTTTCATTCTATTGACAGTACCGTTTCAGGTGCTCATGGGGTCCGCCTCTTGTAACCCTGCTGTCCAATGATTTTGTCCGTATTCTAATTACATGTGGTAATCACCTGGTAATTATTTATTATCAGGACATCTTTCAAATTTATCCGGCACATAAATTCTGGTTCCTAAAAACTACATGGACCGTGATGCTTTATGCTATAAGAGAATACGTATTGGTCACAGGTGCCGTAACGTCATTTCCTACTTGCATCTATTCCTACAGTACCCATCATGCTTTACAGGATTTTATCCTTTGTTTGTTTTATTCATTCGGCTGTCAGCTTTTGTATAGGTTCAAGGTTGTCTCCATGAATTTGGGAAGAAAAATGAAAGAATAAAACATATAATCAGATTACCAAACATATAGAAAACACAAATATAAATATACTTTTTAAATTAAATTATTGGTTGTTTTAGGTGGTGGGTATATCACCTAAACACTCAGTTTTGTATTATGTGTGTGTTTTATATGCTGGGTTTGTGGAGAGCCCAACTGAGTGTCTGGCAGCTACTGTACACTATGATTTTATTAAGCGCCTGTCAATACCTCTTTCTGTTTGTTTCAAATTTTACACTGATACACTTGCAGATATACAGACACAGATACAATTGCACATACATACAGACACTCAGACACAAATACTGTCACACATGCAGATACATAGACAAACAGGTACAATCACTGACACATACACAAACACTGACATACATGCATATACACAGACACAGTGTATAGGTAAGTGTATTGGCTGTAGTGCACGCACAGGCACACACCTCACTCGCAGCACACACACAGACACAAACTTTATCCCCAGCACATCCACATAGAGACACTACCATTGCAGAAGCATATATATGTTTTCTTGGGGAGGGAAGGAGGGAGGGAGGGTGGGTAAGAGGGCAGAATTTTATCCTTGGAGCCAGGCAGGATAATGTCTTGGGCCGGCCCTGGCTTCCACCACAATAAAAGTGATAATCATTATAACGCATCATAACACCACCCTCTCAAACAATATAGCATAAAATACTTAGTTAATACAATTTCCAATAAATAAAATGTATTTTTAGAAATTACATTTGTAATAAAAGAACAAGTAAAACATAATAGTATGTGATAACAAAAAATATGCAATGGACCAATATATATATATTTCTAACTTTAGTTGCATAGTGAAGATATTATATCTATTTTCTTTATCTGGGGCAGCTCTGATTGCTCTCTTGCGAGAAGGAGAAAGTCTAGAGGATCTGATGAAGCTTTCACCAGAAGAACTGCTTCTGAGATGGGCCAACTACCACCTGGAGAATGCCGGTTGTAACAAAATCAATAACTTTAGCACAGACATCAAGGTGAGTGCTCTCAACAGTCTATACAACATTCTAAACAACATTTGAAATTGCTAAACAACAGTCACATTTTGAAAGAAGGAACCATATATAATATATAGTATTAATAATTGTGCGAATGTGACTAGGTGGGTGTATCTGACTGAATTGTTATTTGACTGAGGATCTGACATAGGTTTCGTTATATGGGAAGTTAATGACGTAGAGGTGAGTTAGAGTATGTGAGAGTATGTATGAGGGGGTTAATGATTTGGAGGTGAGTTGGTGTGTGAGAGAGTGTATAGGGTGGTTAATGACTGGGAGGTGAATTGGAGGTTATCTAACAGGGTATATGAAGGTTAAAGTCTAAAAAGTCTGGGGTAGGGGTGTGGCATGATGTATGTGGAGGAATGACTTGGAGGTGGTCGAGAACCTAAAACGCTACTCTCTTAAGTAGTTGAATGTTCCTCCTGTCAATCAAAAACAGCAGCAAGCTGTTCTTCCTGTGTGCATTGCTTGGCTGCAATGTATATTGGCAGAGTGGAGGCCACAAGTTGTATAGACTTTATTTAAAAAAATAATATCAATTGTTATGCCAATCGTTTGGCCTCTTTGTGATCAACGGTGCTGGCAGCCTTGACTTGGCTTGCCTGACTACATATTATAAAGATAAAGGTCATTGTGTTTATTGGCAGCAACATTAAATAAATACAAATAAATTGTTCAGTAAAAGATTATACCATTAATAGATTGTAACAGGGGTTTTTCTAAAGATAAAATAAACAAAAGGAAATTAAAATGAATAACATACAGGAAATTAAAATAGATTAAATAATGGACTTTCAATATCGGGCGAAACACTAATATATAATAAAAACTGAAAGTGTAACAGTGATTGGATTTCCATTTTGGTGTTCTACATCATTTAAAAGTGGATTTTTTAGAACATTCAATATGTCGATATGTTGTTTTACAGATTTGATCAAGGCCTGTAACACCTGTGTAGAGGAATCTTATAATTCGTAGCAGAATGGTGCTATTTTTGTATTTATTAAAAAAAAAAAAAGTAGAAATGGGTATGACATGAATGCATGCCAATAAAATATAGTGTAAAACAAGCTTTGGAAAAGAGCTGAAATAATCTATAATGATTACAGGTGCCACTCAAGCAGGTTAATAAACTGTAGTGGAGGACAAAAACTGGACATCACTGGCAGGCTTACTTCTTTTAAGTTATTTTTTTTTTTTTTGTTAAAGGATCACTATACAGTCAGGAACACAAACATGTAGTGTTAAAAAAAAACATCTAGTCCCCCTTGCTCCCCTTTATATAGTAAAAATCTTACCTTTATTCCAGTCTACTGCTGGCTTTGCCACTGATCTGCCTCCGTGGCTGACATCATCAGATGTCTTGATCAAAGCCAATAACAATGCTTTCCCTTGAAAAGCATTGGATTGGCTGAGAGTGTCAAGAAGGCAGATCAGGGGCAGAGCTTGCCCAAGCCAAACACAGCCCTGGCCAATCAGCACCTCCTCATAGAGATGCATTGAATCAATGCATCTCTGTGAGGAAAGTTCAGTGTCTCCATGCATAGGCTGGAGACACTGAATGTCAGTCACACTGTGCAGCACTGCTGCAAGAAGCACCTTTATAAGCCATCTGAGGAGTGGCCAGTGGAGGTATCCCTAAGCTGTAATGTAAACATTGCATTTTTCTGAAAAATAACTGTGTCTACTGCAAATAGAACACATACAAAATACTGTAGTTGTTCTGGTGACTACAGTGTCCCTTTAAATTAAAAAATGAAATAATTAAAAACAAATTAAATAAAGCATATTTAATAATCGCGTGTTTTGCATGTTAATAAGACAATGATTTTCATTAAAAAGCAAACAGCAACTCCACTACATCAGTGCATTAAGCTATCAGTGGTCTATTAACATGAGCATAAGTAATATCTATCAGGGTAGCACAATTAGAGTCCTGTAGTTTTTTATTTTGAAATATTGCTTCCTGTGTGTTTCTAGGTATGGCTACGGTTCCTCCAATGGTATTGTGCTCACTGCACACATGAGCTCAGCTCTCTGAATTAGAAAAAGTGATAGAATCCTGTTTGCTTCTAAAGATAAAGTACTGAAATGTGTATGTTTTATCTTCATATTTACCAGGACTGCAAGGCCTACTACTACTTACTTAATCAAGTTGCTCCAAAAGGGGAAGAAGAAGGTGTTCCTGCCATTGACATTGATATGACAGGTCTAAGGGTAAGGCTGGTTTCTTCTATAACTATAGTGGTATTTAAGGATGAATAACAGAATTATAGGACACTTGTCATTCATTTAATTAAGCTGAATTCATAAATCATAGCTGTAGTTTGGTTAACTTCCTCTTCAATATGATACACTCATTTCACTGTAAATGCAATTGTTTATATAACCGGTTTAGTGTATTTTAGAGGTTTATTATAACTTTCCAGTGATTTGTTAATGTTAAAAGTATATATTGGGCAACATGTTCGTACAGAGCTGCTTTCAAAAGCCCCCGATGGAATTAGGTAGTTTGATCTTGTTCAAGGGTTTCAATCTGAAACTAAATGCAAGACTACAATGTCTGATAAATGGAAACTGAACATCCTTGGTTAAAGAATTAGACTGTGTTTGTGAATTACACTAGTTATCATGTTTCAGTGCTAGCCATCAACTGCTTCAGCAAAGATTTCTTTAACGTCTTTCCTCTTCCCACAGGAGAAAGAAGACCTAAAAAGAGCAGAGTGTATGTTGGTTCAGGCAGACAGGCTGGGTTGTCGTCAGTTTGTTACTGCCACAGATGTTGTCCGTGGAAATCCAAAGCTTAATTTGGCTTTTGTCGCAAATCTTTTCAATAAATACCCGGCCCTACAGAAACCAGAAAACCAAGATATTGACTGGAGCTCTATTGAAGGTAAAACTAGAAAAGTAGTTCATAAAAATATAACAGCAGTCTGGCTGCATAAACCTAATTTATCAGACAGAGTCTGTATTCTCAACTACAGCATACTTCCTGTATTATACATTCACACTACGCTCTTACGGCTCAGCCTTTTTCCCTCTCAAAACTTATTTCCTGATCTTCACTTCCACCTTGTGTAACAATCCCAAGTACCTCTTTAATATCTAGTATTCACTACTTCACCCCAATACACATGCCCCTAAAACTAATATCACAGCTAACTTTGTTATATAGCTACATAATAATATATGCTGAAAAACGAGTGGCTCACGCATTTCTATTTCTGTAGTTTGATCCAAGAAAAAATAAAAATAAAACAATTTAGAGTGATTTTCATTTGTACCAAGAAATGGGAATATAAACCTTTTTGACTCCAAAATGACAATGGGATTTTCCTTCATTCAATAATCTATTCATCCAGACTTTTTCGTAAAATAGTGAATAATCTGATAAAATTACATTTTTAAGAAGAGTCGTTTTGACTTCTTTAGCCCAAATCATCTTTCTTGTAGTCTACACAACCTCTTGCCATTGTACAAATCTAGTACAAAACAATATATATACACACAGACATATATACAGCTATTTTGGTACAATTATGGTACTGATAAGCGATTGGGTTAAAAGCTTTTATGTCACAAAGATGGCATTAATTAGTTCTTTTGAGACAAAGATGGCACTGGGAAGCTGTATGTGGACATATATGGCACTTAAAAGCTTTTGGGGGGCAAACTGGCATTGTAGGAAGTGGGTGACATGTTACTTGGTGAAGATGGTGGCCCAAAAAGCTGGAGTGGTTTCCACAGAAAATTGGCGTGGTTAGAAATGTTGTTTGTAAAGGCTAAGAGTTAGCAATAACTAGCCAAATTTCGATATTTACTCCTCTAGAGATTATTTTATTTTCTGTTCATTACAGAATGACATAATATTTCGGAAAAACTGCAGCCAATATTTAATTGCTGTAGCCCTTTAAATCACAGTCCCATTTTAATTTTATATTGTTTCATTTACCTTAGATAATATTATAAAAGTGTTTACTACGGTACTATATATATATAAACATATATATATATATATATATATTACCGTATATATAATACCGTAGTAAACACTTACCGTAGTAAACACTTTTATATACATACATACATAGTAAGCAAAAGCTTGTGAAACTTCATTGCACAAATTCAGTACTTGACTTTGATTGGAGAACATTTATGAATACTGAACTTTTCAAAAAATATTATGTTTTGTTTTTGTTGAAACATCACTTCTGTTAAGTAGCTACATTGTCAACAAAATGTTGTCTTCAGAAGAGGAAGCTAAGGACTTCCTTTTCTGAAGAGGAAGTTAAGATTCCCACACCAACTACAGCATTTACCACATTCATTGTAAATTCAAAGGGAGGGCTATCAGAAAATAATTAATTAAATGATTTGTAACATCAACTACAGTGTACCTGCATTGTACTAGCTTCCAATACTTAATTACAACTGGGATACGTGCGAGTTAAAACCAGTTTGGAAAAACAAACGTTACGCCAGGCATCAGTCTCACGGCACCATGCACGGGTCAGGTCCTCACTTTACGGCTGCATTTTGTCTAATCTGTTCTAAAACCATTGCATGTTCATGCATATCATTCGTTTAAACTCACTTGTTTATATCTGTCACTGGCTCATTTCGAGCATTAGCATACCCCGAACGGGAACACATTCTGTTTTAATTGCCTAAACATACTAGGCAATTCTGTGCGTGCATTTCGAATCTCACTGCTCATTTCATTTTGTTTCACTGACATACCTGGCTCACGGTTCGTGCAATTTTCTATCAAACGGGAACGAGTTCATGCATTTACTATTGTACTACACACACGTTTTGTGTGTTTACAACCCACGAACAGAACTTTGGTTTGTTACTATGACTGTTATTAAGCTATTATGTTCACATATTGTATATTGTCAAACGGGCACTGTTCATTTCCCTGTCATACAACTATAATGCTGGGGTATAGCTCACGAACAATGTTTCACATAAACCACACTGACCCCTACAGGTCACTTTCAAAATATCACTTTAACCTTGCATTTGGATTAAAGGGTATTTTTACCATACAATCAGCATTTCTGACCCCTACTGGTCAACATCAAAACTGTCTTCACATGTCATATACAATTTACTAGCCAATATAAATTACACATAAGATTGTTTTAAACATAACCATAAACCATAAATTAAACTCCAGCACGGGCTCAACTTCAGGTTTAATTCACAATAATTTACATTTCACATCAAGACCAACAGTGGTTCTATCAACACTGCCACCTACAGGTCTGTCAAGTACATTGACAATTTTCATGGGGTTTTACAAACACCAAAACACTAACCCCTATCACATACCAATCAGTATCCAACTACACTGCCACCTATAGGGCACTCGGCAGATCTCCAGTGCACTTGCATTTTGCAACACCATGTTCACCAACCCCTACCATTCAATAAGACATACAACAATTCACAAAGCAATTAGTATATCAACATCTGGTATAAATACACATATTATTACACAGTAGCAGACGCATCTGCATTTACGCAACTGGTAATATAGTTCACATACATTTTTCACAGCACGCTGCTCACACAACAGACTTTCCCCTAGCTAGGGGACATACAACATACAAGGTGGGGACAGACTACTTTTTCATATGTACATAAGGCACTTAATGGGTTAAGATTGATACATATTTAACCAGTATAGCTACGATGTTTAATATTTACACATCACGGCACTTTACTTTTCACATATACTGTGCGTATTAAGATAAGCTTGGTCTATGCCATATTTCCTTATGCCATACGGTTTTATCCATTCAGGTTACAGTTACTACTAAAAAACCTATCCAGATTGTCAGGTTCAATACCATACTAACAGGTACATACACCTGCTCACGTAGTTATCCATCTCTTACCTTCCCTGGAATAGTAATAGCGTACTGGCAATTAGGGTTCTAGGGCCCAATAGGTATTACCCCCTTTTTTCTCTGCATTACACTTCGGTTAGTGGTCCCGCGAGGCCAACACCCTGCCTCACACATTTGGAGGCATACACCCCTCGGGCCACTCGTGAGCTAGCCGCCTCGCATTGTATCATAGAAAGGGCCTCACCTGTCACTCCCCTTCCTATTTTCTGGTTACTGTCACCGAGAGGCCAACATCCTGCCACAACGTTCGGTGGCCACACAAAATCCCCTCGCGCCAAGCATAGATAGAGCCTCTCAAGCCACTTGGCAACTAATGGGGCCTCACTAGTCACCAAAAAACACCAAGCCTAAATGTTTCGCCTTACGGCTTAGCTAGCAAGCCAGTACAAGACCCCTGGGTACAAATAATAATTGCAATCTTTATTATTATTTAAGTATTTCTCAAAAAGATGGTGAAGAATCACCTCTTCCTAGCACCCCGGCTAGAAGTGATACACCTTCAGGCAGAAGAGATGTTGCTAGTCCAGCAGCAATCAGATCCTGGACGATGCCACACATTACAACCGACCTAAGGAGGCGACAAATCCCCTACCCTGCCACAGCAAGGAAAGCAGAGTTATTCAAACTCCTCCAAACATCAACAGACAACACGGAGGCAGGGGAAGGCCCAGCAACACCAACTCAGGTGACACCCAGGCCATGCTAGCCTCACTCATAAACTCATGAGCCAAAAAATTTACGACAGACTGGCAATCTCGAGTCGGTCACCACAGCCCTCACAAGGCATATATATGTATAATAATGTAGCTGTGATGGTCAGATCCAGGGATTCCAGGTAAATCGGGAACTGACCATCGCTTGGTTGTGTTGGCATTTGGAATATGTAGAGATGTTTATTTGTGCAGGTACCCATACAGAAGGGATTTTGTCCCAAACAAACGGACGAGCACTCTCAGGCTCCAGGTACCAGCCCCTCTGAACTACCAGAGACAATTGGTATGGGTAGTTGCATTGCATATAGACTGTTGCATATATGTTCAAATGATTCAGGGTACATGACAAACCATGTGTCCAAATACAACTTACAAAAAAAAATAAAATAAAAAAAAAACGTACTCATCATCTGAACACACCAATGCATTTTCAACACTACTGACTCATCACCCTTCCAGACTTCTAGTAGATTTACTAAAGCTCTGGAGCTTCAAAGGGCTCCCATACAGGTATCATAAATACACCTTCAAGGACTATAGCATGCCCTCACTTACAGTCAGCACAACAGAACCATCGGCTGCAAACACACTCATAGCCAAGATTTGCAGAGGGGTTTTAACTTGGGTTTTCCAATCTCCACCATTTACAGCATGGCGCCAAACACAAACACATTGGTATTGTCACAAGGAAATCTTCCCTTAAACAAAGACTAACCATAGACTTATTGGCAACACACACCTCCGCTACCCCAAGTCTCAACAACCTCATACCCTCCGAGGAGTTTCTTTACTATACAACACCATTGATCTACCTTTACAGCTATCACTCAAGCATTGGTTGAAGCTTGGTTAAGTAAGACCAATATCATCAACACAGTAAACGGCTACCATCTACCCTACACACTGGCACTTACATGGCATAAAATGGGCAATCCTTTCCCCGCTCAACTTTTGGGCTACAGATTAGCCTACTATCGATATTTGCAGATACTCTGTGCTGGTTATGATAACATATCCAGAGGCCTTACAGTCATATACTATCTAGAAGACTTCTTGTTGATCAAAGATAACATATTTTCACTAGAAGCCTCACGGCAACTTAGTCTGGCTGACCACTTGGGCGTCCCAGTACCCCATAAGAAACAGAAGGCCCAGACACTATCATCACATTACTGGGCATACGACTTGAGTCGGCATCCATACACGCAAGTTACCATAAGACAAATAGGGAACATTCTCAACTACATCAATCACTACCTCCTGCTTAGTTCTTACAACCGCAAGGAACTACAATACCTACCAGGTTCCTTAATTTTGCCATGAAAGTCATACCACAAGACCATGCCTCATCCAGAGTACTTTGCCCTTTTTTCCACACTTCCAACATGACACTTCCCTAGACACCCCAGCCACAGCAGACCTGCACATGGGGGGGGAATTTCTTAACCACTTGGCATGGTAAAAGCATGTTCCTTCCAGGATTGTCTGACACTTCTCCAACCAGATGGTCAGAGGCGGCGTCTATCACGGGTCTGGCATCGATCAACTGGGAACGATTGCTTTGGAGCTGTTGGCCACGGCATCCAGGTTTGGAAATCTTTCCACCACCTGAGCCCCTTTGGGGGATCTACCCCATTGTAGCAGCTGCTGTGGCATGGGGTAAATCATGGTCAGGGTCATCAATCCGTTGTTACTCAGACAACTAAGCACATGTCATATCATCAACAAACGCCACTCATCATCTATACGATCATGATATTTCTGGGGAACTCACTTGGTTGGCCACTTATCACATTTCTTTTACTTTCATGTACCAGGCGGGGCTATACATCCTTGCCGACAATTGTCTCATTTATATTCATACGCTTCCTACAGCTGCCCATACATTCACGGCCACTATTTCGTTCCAGAGGCAAAATCATGAATTAGACATACTCATGCAGCATAGCATGCACTATCCCACCTAGCACTTTTGTCCCATACTTGTAGAATGCATAACACAGCTTTTCACCTGGCTTAAAGAATCTCATTGGAACACGACATAGCTCAACCTGTGTCATAACATTTCTCCTAGGTTTTGCTTCTTTTTGCCACCTTAAACTAAAATTATCTCACACACCATTAATTATATATTTTACAGGCATTCAACAACACAGGATAACCTATGGCCAAAACTACCATAACTTCATGCTATCATACCAGATAAGAATATACTCAGAGGTTTTCAGGAATCCATTCCCCCACGTTCGTCTCAGAGATTACCAATAGCCATCCAACTTTTCCATCCTTATCGGACCTATTAGATCTACAACCATTCAATTATATTACAATTATAGGCTTATCAATAAACTGCAATCTTTAAGTTTGGATTCCAATATTGTTGAATGGGTAAGGCAGTGGCTGAGTGACAGGCAACAGAGGGTTGTAGTTAATGGAATATATTCGAAGCTTGGACTTGTCACCAGTGGGGTGCCTCAGGGATCTGTACTTGGACCCATTCTCTTTAATATTCTTATTAGTGATACTGCAGAAGGTCTTGATGGTAAGGTATGTCTTTTTGCTGATGATGCTAAGATATGTAACAAGGTTGATGTTCCAGGAGGGATAAGCCAAATGGCAAATGATTTAGGTAAGCCAGAAAAATGGTCAGAATTGTGGCAACTGACATTTAATGTGGATAAGTGCAAGATAATGCATCTTGGACGTAAAAACCCAAGGGCAGAGTACAGAATATTTGATAGAGTCCTAACCTCAACATATGAGGAAAGGGATTTAGGGGTGATTATTTCTGATGACTTAAAGGTAGGCAGACAATGTAATAGAGCAGCAGGAAATTCTAGCAGAATGCTTGGTTGTATAGGGAGAGGTATTAGCAGTAGAAAGAGGAAGTGCTCATGCCATTGTACAGAACACTGGTGAGACCTCACTTGGAGTATTGTACACAGTACTGGAGACTGTATCTTCAGAAGGATATTGATACCTTAGAGAGGGTTCAGAGAGGGGCTACTAAACTGGTTCATGGATTGCGGGATAAAACTTACCAGGAAAGGTTAAAGGATCTTAACATGTATAGCTTGGAGGAAAGACGAGACAGGGGGGATATGATAGAAACATTTAAATATATAAAGGGAATCAACACAGTAAAGGAGGAGACTATATTTAAAAGAAGAAAAACTACCACAACAAGAGGACATAGTCTTAAATTAGAGGGACAAAGGTTTAAAAATAATATCAGGAAGTATTACTTTACTGAGAGGGTAGTGGATGCATGGAATAGCCTTCCAGCTGAAGTGGTAGAGGTTAACACAGTAAAGGAGTTTAAGCATGCGTGGGATAGGCATAAGGCTATCCTAACTATAAGATAAGACCAGGGACTAATGAAAGTATTTAGAAAATTGGGCAGACTAGATGGGCCGAATGGTTCTTATCTGCCGTCACATTCTATGTTTCTATGTTTCTACCAAGTCGGCCATTACCAGCCATGCACACTGCCTTCTATGCCTTTCTCAGGCCAGAGAATCCACTACCATCACCACCACTCAGACAGATCATTGTCTTCAACGATCCCACGTATGTAAACACATATATCATTACCTATTGGCTCTACCACATTCTGAAACAAGTCAACACGCACCAACAGTAGAGATAACATACTATCCTACCCACAACAAATGGTGTCCAGTTGTGGTCCTAGATTCCTACCTTCAAAATCCTTCCAGGAATTAAATACCGTAATGCATTTAAGGAATGTCTGGTTAATTTGTCTATATTTGTTGACTGTATTAAATCTTTGATTATTCATTTTTGCCCTCTTTATTTACAGGCCTACCATATCGTCGGTCTCGGCACACCACAACCGATTTGCTCCCTTTATACTATCCTACGCTTATGCTGGAACCTTACTCCACATACGGCTATTTGCCCCTTACACAAGTATTAAGGCCGTTTGGCCTGTATTTGTGGGAGGGGCTTAAATTAATTCACTCCTCTATATAAGGGACACCCCTTACCTGACTCCATATCGCTTGAGGTCAGCATCAGAATGACCCTCCCACCCACTCCTCATTTCAACACTTTCTCTTTTCTTTCCATTTACTTTACTCTCTTACTCCTTGGTGGGCCCTCTTTATTTACAGGCCTACCGTATCGTCGGTCTCGGCACACCACAACCGACTTTGTACTATCCTACGCTTATGCTGGAACTTTACTACATATACGGCTATTTGCCCTTACATAAATATATATATTACCGTATATATAATACCGTAGTAAACACTTACCGTAGTAAACACTTTTATATACATACATACATAGTAAGCAAAAGCTTGTGAAACTTCATTGCACAAATTCAGTACTTGACTTTGATTGGGGAACATTTATGAATACTGAACTTTTCAAAAATATTATGTTTTGCTTTTGTTGAAACATCACTTCTGTTAAGTAGCTACATTGTCAACAAAATGTTGTCTTCAGAAGAGGAAGCTAATGACTTCCTTTTCTGAAGAGGAAGTTAAGATTCCCACACCAACTACAGCATTTACCACATTCATTGTAAATTCGAAGGGAGGGCTATCAGAAAATAATTAATTAAATGATTCGTAACATCAACTACAGTGTACCTGCATTGTACTAGCTTCCAATACTTAATTACAACTGGGATATGTGCGAGTTAAAACCAGTTTGGAAAAACAAACATATAATATATTCTTACATTTTCAATTGACTTCAGATTAGCTGTGACCTATTTAAAGTGTGTGTAACCTCCAAAAATGTTCCATTCAAATTATAAAACATTTTAAAAATTGTCCTTTTTTGTTTGTTTGTTTTTTGTTTTTTAAATAGAAAGCAAAAAAATATAAAGCCTTTGAAGAAAAAAGTTGTTTCCCACATATTAGAAACTAGTAGATATTCGGAAAAACACAAACACTCATGTTGTGGAGGGAGATTTATCAATGTGTCTTGAAAACTGGTGCAAAGTTCTAATAGTGGTGCAGTCACCATGGAAACCAGTGGTACCAACAGTAGTATTCCACTGCTGAATCCTCCTCATATATGTCTGAAACTGCTATGTTTATAAAAAAAAACCCTAGCTGGACCAGGCACCCAGACCACTTCATTAAGCTGAAGTGGTCTGGGTGCCTAGAGTGGTCCTTTAAATATATTTGTATATTTTCATTATTATATTAAACATATTAATACATTTTCAGGTGACAATTCCATTTAAAATGTATACTGTACAATACATGTATACTGCGGGTTACCAAAAGCGGTCTATATAAATTTAAAATAATGAATAAATATTTTTTATTCTCAATTTAAAGGTGAAACAAGAGAGGAAAGGACATTTAGAAACTGGATGAACTCTCTGGGTGTTAATCCTCGTGTAAATCACTTATACAGGTAAATATTTATGTGTGTGCAGTAGGAACCATCTGCTAATCAGATGAAGGAACCAGATTACGTATGTGCCTGAAGTCCATGAAACCCCCCAAAGATCCCTATTCACTGTGCATTAGCATGTGGTCAAAAACTGCAAAGCAGACAGAAGAAGTTTTTGATAGCAATAGTTGTAGCATTATGTGTATACTGCTAAAAATCACTGTTTATTATCCGACTAAAAAATCTAACTAATTTATTCCGTATTTCCAAACATTGTACTTAAATTTTAATAGGGATAATGTGCTAGATAGCTATATAGTTGTTAGAATATTATTGCACTTATAAATAGCTCACCCAGAATGCGTTGCCATCTGCCTTGTCATAGTTATAGTCATAGGGATACTATAAGTGCCAGGAATACAAAGGTGTTAAATACCCTTTATTTACTTACCTTACCACGGCGCTAGGTCGCAGCTCTGCCTCCTCCGACATCCCACAAAGGGCGGGTGCTAATGCGCATGAACATTAGACCTCCCCATAGGAAAGTATTGAATGAATACTTTCCTATGGGGAAAAATAAAATCGGACACTGGATGTCCTCATGCAGAGCGTGAGGCCGTCCAGGGTTGTTACCAGACAAAAGGTCTGTTTGGATGCAGGAAGCGCATCCAGTGGCTGCCTGGGAGATAGCAGGAGGCAGACTTAGTGCTGCAATGTAAACATTCCAGTTTCTCTGGAACTAAGGGCAATAGGGACACTGCACCCATACCACTGAAGTGGTCTGGGTGCCTATAGTGTCCCTTTAAGAGAGAATACTGGTCAAGAAACATTCCCTCGTAGAACTTGTGTACAGATATTATGTGGCCAGAACTGGGACCAAAAATATTTTTTTTAAATGTCTGTTAATTTAAATCTTTGCTGGTATTTCAGATAGCATTATCTGCAGACAAAACTATTAGTACAATAATTTATAATACATATAAAATATATCTTCTTTTTTTATCGTTCAGTGACCTGTCTGATGCCCTTGTCATATTCCAGTTGTATGAAAAGATTAAGGTACCAGTAGATTGGAGCAGAGTAAACAAACCACCATATCCTAAACTGGGAGAAAATATGAAAAAGGTATTTTTAGAAGATAATTTTTTCCATTGTTACATAAAATCTCAATGAAAACTAACTTCTACATATTCAGTAGTAGGAAGAAAAGCCCCTGTTTGTTGCATACTCTTTTGTTGATTTAAAAAAAAAAATCACTACACACCAGAGTCTTAGGACACAAGGTATCATGCTAAAACTCTAACTATGAGGTAGAGAACGTTTTCCATACAAAACTTTGATACAGCTAACAGGATAGCCAAATAAAGAACGCAGCTATAATACATGAATAGGATAAAATATGAATTTGCAACATACACTGAACAAAATTATAAACGCAACACTTTTGTTTTTGCCCCCATTTTTCATGAGCTGAACTCAAAGTGGCATTTTACTGTGGCCAGCCTAAGGCACACCTGTGCAATAATCATGCTGTCTAATCAGCATCTTGATATGCCACACCTGTGAGGTAGATGGATTATCTTGGCAAAGGAGAAGTGCTCACTAACATAGATTGAGACAGATTTGTGAACAATATTTGAGAGAAATAGACCTTTTGTGTACATAGAAAAAGTCTTAGAACTTTGAGTTCAGCTCATGAAAAATGGGGGCAAAAACTAAAGTGTTGCGTTTATAATTTTGTTCAGTGTATTAATAACCTGCTATTTGATTAAATTGAAAAAATACATTTGCTTCCTTAAAGGACCACTCTAGGCACCCAGACCACTTCAGCTTAATGAAGTGGTCTGGGTGCCAGGTCCCTCTAGGATTAACCCCTTTTTTTTATAAACATAGCAGTTTCAGAGAAACTGCTATGTTTATAAATGGGTTAATCCAGCCTCCAAAGCCTCTAGTGGCTGTCTCATTGACAGCCGCTAGAGGCGCTTGTGTGATTCTCACTGTGAAAATCACAGTGAGAACACGCAAGCGTCCATAGGAAAGCATTGCGCGTGCGCATTCAGCCGAAGGGGAGGAGAGCAAGAGGAGAGCTCCCGGCCCGGCGCTGGAAAAAAGGTAAGTTTTAACCCTTTCCTTTCCCCAGAGCCGGGCGGGGGGGGCAGGGGCGTACCTAGAGCATTTGGCACCCGGGGCGGATCCTGTGCTTGCCCCCAAAAAACCTGTAAAAAATTTAAAGGTTCTCTTTTTTTTTTTTACAATTTGTAAACTTTGCAAAACCGCTGTCAGCCCCTCCTACAAAACCTCTGTCCTGTCCCTTCTACAAATCCTGTACTGCCTCGTCTACAAAACCCCCGCAACCCCCTTCCACAAATCCCCTGCTTATCCCCCCTTTTAAAGACTCCTGTCCCAATGCAAAACCCCCGCCCCCTTCTACAAAATCCCTGCAGCCCCACACACACATTTACAGGCAGACAGTCACACACTCAGTTACAGGCAGTCACACACTCAGTTACAGACAGACAGTCACACACAGTCACAGGCAGACAGTCACACATACACATTTCCTCCGTGCGGCCAGTTTATCAGCTGTTTGCTTGTGTGAGCTGTACTGGCCGCACGGCACCCTAACTACCATGGGACACTGTGCGGCCACAGCTCACACAACCCCCTCCAGCCAGGGCCGGTGCAAGGATTTTTGCCGCCCTAGGCAAAAGTAAAGTTTGCCGCCCCCCCATGTGACATCACAATGCCCCACCCATATGATTTGCCATGTTAACTAACGCCAGTGCTGCAGTGCCGCCGTGTTTACATTAAAAGGCCTGCAGGGACAGGCTATAGACACCAGAACCACTACATTAAGCTGCAGTGGTTCTGGGGACTATAGTGTCCCTTTAATGTGAGGTAAATTAGAGCTTAGTGCCACGAATACTATACTAGATTGCCTACTTACAACCAGATGAGGATGATGATGGGCTCTAGCTGCAGTCTGGCTCCACTGGTCTGGTGTAGAACAGGCTCTCTGGAGGCGGTTTGTAACTGTGGTCACAAAAATCAATGTTCTGGGAGAACGGGAAGCAGCTCCATTTTTTGGGGGGCCTTTACACAGCTCAAGGTCTGGGTCCCAGGGTCCACCTTCATGTTCCACCAATGAGTTTGTTCACAGGGGGTGGAGTGTGTAGGGATGTCCTGATATGTGTGTAAGGAATGCATTGTGTGAATCTGTGTTTGTATGTGTAAGGGCTGCAAGGTGTGTTTCTGTGTATGTATGGGATGCATTGAATGTGTGTAAGGGTGCATTGAGTGTGTGTAATGAATGCATTGTGTGTTTCTGTGTGTGTAAGGGATGCATTGTGTGTAACGGTTGCATTGCTTGTGTATGTGTGTCTGTGTGTGTAATGCATTGTGTGTTTTTCTGTGTGCAAGGGGTGCATTGTGTGTATGTGATGAATGTCAATCTCTCCTCCCGCTCCAATTTCCTTCTCCTCCTCCCAATTTCTCTTTCTCACCCCCCTCTAATTTCTCTCCCTCCTAATTTCTCTTTCCCCCCTCCTAATATCTCTCCCCCCTCCTAATTTCTCAATTTCTCTCCCCCTCCTAATTTCAATTTCTCTCCCACCCAATTTCTCTTTCCCCCCTCCTAATATCTCTCCCTCCCTCTAATTTCTCTTCCCCCCTCCTAATTTCTCTCTCACCCCTCTCTTTTCTCTCCCCCCCTCCTTTCTCTCCCCCCCCTTTCTCTTTCTCTCTCACCCCCCTCTCCTCTTTCTCACCCTCCCTCCTTTCTCCTTTCTCACCCCCCTTTCTCCCACTTTCTCACCCCTCTCTCACCCCCCCTTTCTCCTTTTTCACCCCCTCTCTCCTCTTTTTCACCCCCCCTTTCTCCTCTCTCACCCCCCTCCCCACTACCTTTGCTGTAGCGTGGCCGAGCCCTGTATAGTCCGCGGGTACAGGGAGCATCTGTCTCCTGTACCTGGCCGGACTAACAGGAAGTGCACACTCAGTGTGCACTTCCTGTTAGTCCGGCCGGGTACAGGAGACAGCTGCTCTCTGTACCCGTCGGACCAGCAATGCTGCAGGGCTCGGCCACGCTACAGCAAAGGAAGCTGACAGGAGGGAGCGCTGAGCGCTGATCGCTTCCCTTCTGTCAGCCTCTCCTCAGGCTGCGCCCGGGCGGTGCGGTCCGCCCTCATGGACGCACCGCCCGGGCAAAGCTGCAGCCGCCTGAGGCTCTGTACAGAGCGCTCGGGCGGCTGCAGCATGGGGGGGGCGCCCCTGGTCATGGCACCCCCCAATCTGCTGGCACCCGGGGCGGACCGCCCCCCGCCTCCCCCTTAGTACGCCACTGGGAGGGGGAGCCTGAGGGTGGGGGCACCCTCAGGGCACTATAGTGCCAGGAAAACAAGTATGTTTTCCTGGCACTATAGTGGTCCTTTAAATTCTTTTAATTTATTTTTTATGATTTAATTTTATTTACTAGAATATATATCGCTAAATATCAAACTTTATTTTCTTACGATGTCTTCATAACTTTATTCAATAAAAACATAATTATATTATGTATATCTTCTCACCATGCACATGTTTGTATCCGACAGCTTGAAAACTGCAACTATGCTGTTGACCTGGGCAAAAACAAGGCCAAGTTTTCTTTGGTTGGAATTGCAGGGCAGGATCTGAATGAAGGAAATCGGACTCTGACATTAGCTTTGCTGTGGCAGTTGATGAGAAGGTACTTGCTAAAATGGGTTAACACAGGACTGTACAAAGGTAGATTCCCAGATATTGTAGAACTACAATTGCTGTGGGAGTTGTAGTTCTACAACATCTGGGGATCTACCTACTGGGCAGCCCTGTTAAGGAATAAGTACTCCTGCTCCTACAGTAGAAAATAAAATTGTATTTAAACTCACTACACATCGAATTGCAGAGAAATGAAAACCGTATTGCAAAATCTAGGCACAATTAGCTAATATACTAAAATTGCCCAATACATCTCTAGTCACAGTTTGGCTTATTAAAGAGACACTATGGTCAAGGTTTCGTTTCGGTCACAACTTCTACAATTGCCTCTGTCCAATTGGGTTAAACATGGCCCTGGAATGAGCCTTGGAAGCTGAGTATATGATAATACTAATGGTCAGTGCAGGGAATCTACTAGTATAAGAATCGAAGACTGTTACTTTGATAAATTTAAGTGAAAGTCAGTGCTTTGTGAATTTCATTATTGTGCGATAAATGCATGCTTAATGTTTTGTTATAGGTACACATTGAATATTCTGGAGGACATCGGTGGAGGACAAAAGGTTAACGATGACACAATTGTTACCTGGGTGAATCAGACACTGAATGAAGCTGGGAAATCATCGTCAATAAGTGGATTCAAGGTGAACATTCCTAGAACTGAATCGTTTAAATATGATGCTTTATAGATGCAAATGCACCGTAACCAATTATTTAGCAATGGAAAAGGCAACCATCGGTACTTCAGATGTTTTGGACAACATCTCCACTGATGTTTAACCAGTATCATGGTTATAAGAGAATTATGGGAGACGTAGTAGACAACATCTGGAGTGCCAAAGGTTGCCTACCCCTGAGTCTTAGCATATTGAACAAGAACATATTACAGGTTATTCAATATAGTGTGAATTTGCAGGAATTCAAAGTGAAATTTAAATTAAAATAGCAATGCTTTCAATTTAACTAAAATCTTAAATTCACTTACATTCCTGAGAATTAGAATTGCATTTCTGGCTCTTTAATATCATATCACTTCATACACTTTAAACTCACAAATACAAAAAATATATATTTTGCGTGACTAACATTTCTTTATAACATGATCATCTTTATATGGTAGAAAGGGACAATATATTATTATTTAACTTATCATTCAACAGTTTGTTTGTTTTTTAAATGTTTTTTTCCAAAACCACAATTTCCTCTTGAAAATTGTTGTATGTATTATTAGTGAAGAGAATAACAACTCAGATTTGTTTTTTGCAAAGAAATCAATATTTTACTACATAAATTAGCTAAATACAGAGATTGAGAATTTGTCATTCTACGAGCAAGTATATTCATTAAAAGGTTACTTTAAGTACAATAACAATGTAGATCACTGTACTTACAGACAATGGCGAAATGCATGCACAAAACAAACAAAAATGGCAAAAGCCTAATATTTCAGCGAAAATTTGAACAACAACCTATCAAACCCAAGAAACTTTTGGAAAATCATAAATAGCATACAAACCCCCACAATCCACTCCCAACCCTCCACTGTCAAAATGGACAACCAAACACTGCAACACCCCCTAGATGTAGCAAATGCCTTTAATAATTATTTTGTTGGATGTGTTACCACCCTGGTTGCTAAGATAACAAATGCCACTCATTTTCAGACCACAAATAAAGATCAGGCACTGCCAAATCTTCAAAATTCTCATATAGAGAAATTTTATTTCAGACCTGTACCTGTTAGTGTAGTTAATAAAAATCTTAATCATTTAAAAATGAAAAACCAGTGTGGACCAGATCAGATCCCAGCAATGTTGCTGAAGATCAGTGCGACGGCAATTGCTAAACCTGACACTACCCTTATCAATGAATCCCTGGTGTCAGGATACATAACCAAACTTTGGACGACTGCATAAGTAGTATCTATCCATAAAAGTGGTGACAATACTTTTGTATCTAACTATCGCCCGATATCATTGCTCCCAGTATTGTCAAAAATCGTGGAAAAATGCATCCTCACACAACTATGTGAATATTATCAACAATCACATTTTTTTGACCCCTAATCAATCAGGCTTTCATCCAAATCTCTGAACTTCAACTGCCCTCTAAAAAGTTTGCAATGACATCCAAATTGGCATGGAACAAGGAGACTTAACTGGAGCTATTCTTCTTGATTTTGCCAAGGCCTTTGACACAGTATGGCATTCTTTTGCAAAAACGTAAAAACTCAAGTATTGGTGATCGTCCGCTAACCTGGTTTCGATCATAGGTATCAGACCGATTTCAATATGTGGCTACTTCTGATAGCGCTTCCCTCCCTCTTCCAGTCACGTGTGGTGTTCCCCAAGGCTCCATACTCAGCCCCCTGCTATTTACATTATTGATAAATGATCTGCCTAACGTCTGCAAATCTTCAACTGTACACATGTATGCAGACGACACTGTAATCTATGCTAGTAAACCCAATCTACCGTAGCTTGAGGCTGTGCTCCAAAACCAATTCCCAGATGTAGAAAAGTGGATAGCGGATAACGAACTCTTCCTAAACACTGACAAAACTGTTACAATGATCTTTGAAGCTTTACCTAAATTATGTAAACTACAAAATCAAGAATTGCGTATCAAAACAAATTCAAATAGCACCCTGATAGCAGTCTGCATTTTAAAATATTTACGTATATTGCTAGACCCCAATCTATCCTTTGGCCTTCACATTGAAAAAAATCTCTTTACCCAAAACTAGGTGCCCTGTACAGAAACAAATGCTGCCTAAGCCCTACAGTAGGGAAACAGATAGTGCAACAAATGCTAATGCCGGTAATTGATTATGGGGATGTAGTGTATGCACCCGCGCCTCAAACCCACCTTAATAAACCTAAAACTTTATACAATTAATTCTGACGCTTTGTACTAGAATGTAATTACTTTACCCACCACTGTGATATATTAAAAGAGCTAAACTGGTTATCTCTGGAATCCCAACGCACTCTTCATCTTTCCAGCCTTGTGCATAAGAGCATTTCTGGGAAGCTCCCACCCTACCTGAGCAGAATGGTGTCCCTGGCTGTTCCCACCTCCTCTAACCTCTGATCCAGTATTAGCACGATAATTAGCATACCGCAATACAAAAATAAAGTGGCTCGATCCTCATTTTCCTACAGAGCACCGCAATTATGGAATAACCTTAGGGACACAGTCAAATCTTCATTCAATCTAAAATCTTTTAAGAGATTTATGGCAATATACCTCAATACAGAATGCACCTGTCATGGTTGAATATATATTACTTGTTTTGTATTACATTTATATATGTGTGTATATATATATTTATATATATATATATATACATATATATATATATATATATATATATATATATACAGGGAGTGCAGAATTATTAGGCAAGTTGTATTTTTGAGGATTAATTTTATTATTGAACAACAACCATGTTCTCAATGAACCCAAAAAACTCATTAATATCAAAGCTGAATATTTTTGGAAGTAGTTTTTAGTTTGTTTTTAGTTTTAGCTATGTTAGGGGGATATCTGTGTGTGCAGGTGACTATTACTGTGCATAATTATTAGGCAACTTAACAAAAAACAAATATATACCCATTTCAATTATTTATTATTACCAGTGAAACCAATATAACATCTCAACATTCACAAATATACATTTCTGACATTCAAAAACAAAACAAAAACAAATCAGTGACCAATATAGCCACCTTTCTTTGCAAGGACACTCAAAAGCCTGCCATCCATGGATTCTGTCAGTGTTTTGATCTGTTCACCATCAACATTGCGTGCAGCAGCAACCACAGCCTCCCAGACACTGTTCAGAGAGGTGTACTGTTTTCCCTCCTTGTAAATCTCACATTTGATGATGGACCACAGGTTCTCAATGGGGTTCAGATCAGGTGAACAAGGAGGCCATGTCATTAGATTTTCTTCTTTTATACCCTTTCTTGCCAGCCATGCTGTGGAGTACTTGGACGCGTGTGATGGAGCATTGTCCTGCATGAAAATCATGTTTTTCTTGAAGGATGCAGACTTCTTCCTGTACCACTGCTTGAAGAAGGTGTCTTCCAGGAACTGGCAGTAGGACTGGGAGTTGAGCTTGACTCCATCCTCAACCCGAAAAGGCCCCACAAGCTCATCTTTGATGATACCAGCCCAAACCAGTACTCCACCTCCACCTTGCTGGCGTCTGAGTCGGACTGGAGCTCTCTGCCCTTTACCAATCCAGCCACGGGCCCATCCATCTGGCCCATCAAGACTCACTCTCATTTCATCAGTCCATAAAACCTTAGAAAAATCAGTCTTGAGATATTTCTTGGCCCAGTCTTGACGTTTCAGCTTGTGTGTCTTGTTCAGTGGTGGTCGTCTTTCAGCCTTTCTTACCTTGGCCATGTCTCTGAGTATTGCACACCTTGTGCTTTTGGGCACTCCAGTGATGTTGCAGCTCTGAAATATGGCCAAACTGGTGGCAAGTGGCATCGTGGCAACTGCACGCTTGACTTTTCTCAGTTCATGGGCAGTTATTTTGCGCCTTGGTTTTTCCACACGCTTCTTGCGACCCTGTTGACTATTTTGAATGAAACGCTTGATTGTTCGATGATCACGCTTCAGAAGCTTTGCAATTTTAAGAGTGCTGCATCCCTCTGCAAGATATCTCACTATTTTTGACTTTTCTGAGCCTGTCAAGTCCTTCTTTTGACCCATTTTGCCAAAGGAAAGGAAGTTGCCTAATAATTATGCACACCTGATATAGGGTGTTGATGTCATTAGACCACACCCCTTCTCATTACAGAGATGCACATCACCTAATATGCTTAATTGGTAGTAGGCTTTCAAGCCTATACAGCTTGGAGTAAGACAACATGCATAAAGAGGATGATGTGGTCAAAATACTCATTTGCCTAATAATTCTGCACTCCCTGTATATATATTGTTTGTATATTGAAATTTTGTAATATTGTATCAATGCAATGTTTTGTGGACCCAGGACATGGAAAACGAAAGAAATCTCAATGTATCCATCCTGGTAAAATATTTTATAAATAAATAATACATAGATAAACTTTCTGATAGTGCCCTGCACTCATCATCAGCTCTGAAAGTGACTTAGAACAGAAATAATTTGAAAACATCACTGCAGCTATAAGACAAATCACCCCACCTTCCACAGCTGTCAATCAGGCAGTCGGAACCCTCAGTTGTAGACTATTCAAGATGTGCATGTGGTTAGCAATTGCTGTCAACTCTGCCCAATTTGCTAAACTACCAGGCTATATAATGAGATTTTAGTGGTTAGGAGGGGGAAGAGAGGATTAAACCAAGGCTGTGCCCATTCTTAATGGGATTTTTTTTTATTTACAGGCATTAAGCCAACGAGGCTGCATGCTCACTCTGGATACTATCAATTTATAGAGCAGTTCCACTTGCCTTATGTGATAGGTGGAACTGTTGTGGGATAAACTACTTATCGCTTAAATCCTTGCTGAGCAGGAATTTATGGGATATAATCAGACCACATTGAACAGAATAAGAGGCTACTGATTGTGTGAGCCTCCTCTTGGTAAATAAAAGGTCTGCTTGCTGACACTTGCTGTGCATGCGCAGAATCAATATAATCTTCAACGGGTACTTTGCTTGAAATATGAAATGAGTTTATATATTAGACAAAAATCTTGTGTTGTGTTTTTGTTTAACCAAACTAACATTTTTACATTGTGGTTTTTAACTATAACTAATAAACTCTTTGTAACATATGTTGATGTAAAGGTTATATGTTTTTCTTTCTGAAGGATGGCAAAATTAGCACAAGTATGCCAGTCTTGGATTTGATTGATGCAATCCAGCCCGGCTCAATTAATTATGACCTTTTAAAAACAGAAGACCTAAATGATGATGAGAAACTCAACAATGCTAAGTATGTTGTACTTTTTGTTGTTTATCAAGTTGTGCCATTTGTAGACTAATTTTAAGCTTGGCAGTACAAAGAAAAAAGAACTAGACATGATTATTATACATAAATAAAGGCACAGGAGTTAGGAAGAATTTTGTAAAATCAAATTTTATCAGTATTTTGGTTGTTTAGATATTATGGACTTTGAGCATTTTAGGATTTTTTTTTTAACAATAGCACTTTGCAATTACTTTATATCTTGCTCATCCATTGTACTGCACTGCAGAATATATTGGCGCCCAGATATATTAATATGGATAGTAATAGTTCCTACTCCCTACTCCTGTCTCCTTCCTTAATGTAACTGGTATTTTGGGGTGGGAGGGTGATACATATAAAGGATAATTCACATTCCCAGCCCTTATTGCTTCATGCATCACAGATGCACTAACACACCAACATCCACTTAGTGCAATTATGGAACATACCTAGGAATAATAAAAGTTATGCTTTTTGGCTGCAACTGCAATTTGTGGCTGTCTTCATTAATTCTGACTTCCCCCATTATTGATATGTCAAAATGTCAAGAGATTAGGGGTTTGTACAATGTTTGTCTCACTGTGCAATAGTATTGCACATTATGATGTCACCCGGAGACTAGTTTTTGATTGCAAAACATAATCAACTTGCTAGTGTAAATCATATAATGTATACTTGATTGCAGCACATGTATTTATTTTTTTATTTTATGTAACAGTCTATGGTGGTTAGAGGGGTTAATGTAAATCAGGTGAAATAGCATCTATGTTTGGCTCATGAGACATTGGAATGGTTTTATTAGATCCATAGAGATAAAAAGAATATTTCATGATAACAGCAAAACAAACATATGGTAAATAAAAAAATTTGCAACATTTTCTCTCATCATAAAACTCAGACCTAACGACATCCTGGATTCCATCTGTTAATTAATGACTACAGATACACTCACTTGCTGTGTTATCATATCCTGTAACTAATTACACATACACATACTGCTAGGGACCTGCCAAATATCTTAGTGCATTAAAACAATGCAAACATGTTAGTATGCATTTAGTCCATTGGTTTAGTTTGTGTTTAAATATAATCAACTTTGTGGTTTACCACAATGTTCTCCAGACGTTTCCGTAGACCCAAGTTAAGTCCTTTAGTAGATTATTCTACAGATCTCAGTGTTTTATTATTTGCTTTCTTTTTGTTGCAGATATGCAATTTCAATGGCAAGAAAAATTGGGGCAAGAGTTTATGCTTTGCCCGAGGATCTGGTGGAAGTGAAACCAAAGATGGTTATGACAGTCTTTGCTTGTCTCATGGGAAGAGGATTAAAGGTTTAAAATAATGTAATGCTGGCAGCAATGACAGTGTCCCTTTAATTGCCTGTATCACGAGGTTCATCTGGCTACTGTAAGACTTTCTGGAAAGAACTAATATATCTTCGTTATCAGTATAAAATATCCCTGTCCCTAAATGAAAGGCTCCCATTCTCACCCAACACAGTGTACAACACAGAAGAAAATAAATACAACTTTAAAAAATCAGCTTTATTAGTATGATGTGTGAAGAGGGGATTCTTCTAAGTACCAACCTGCTTTTTTTGTTGATTAAACAAGTAACAAAACCTTTTTAAGATCTATCAGTACAATTAAAAGTGCCATTTTGTGTTCTATTGTCCATACTACTTGTTTCATTGCTATTAAAGAATAATTTGAATTGTATTCTGCAGTATGTTGTGTAATATGTATATATCTTGAGAAATATCAAATTTTCTGCAGACCATCTCTTGGTTTTCAGCAGAGGAGTATCACTTCTTGGATCGATTTGGAGTTTAATAAACCCCACATGACTGTTTAACAGGACTTTCTATCCCCAGATAAAAAAAAAAAATGTATAAACAAATCACTTGTTAGTAAATATAATCCACCCAATTAAAACATGAATGTATTTTTCCAAAGAGGGTATATATAAAACAGCTTGCAAAAGCTGTAGGCCTTTTGTCTGCAGCCTTTGCAATCCCTCTTCTTTCCCACCCCACACTTTCTGTGGCTGTCCAATCACAGACTTCCCAATGCAGCTCAGAGAAGTCTTTGCTAGGCAGGTCCTCTAGGCAATTCCTGCCTTTTGGTTTAGCTCCACTGAGCTAACCAGACCAGGAAGTAACAGGATTGTTTATCTTATTGACAACCAGGTGGGGTGAAACTAAACAAATTTATAAAAGTGCCAATTTATATTGAAACCTGCACGTTTTGTAAAATAAAAAAAAAAGAGGACTACTATGTCTACAAGGTAAAGTGCTTTAAGTGTTTGGAGTGTTTATCTAAGCTTTGTAGAGAGTTCATATCTATAACCACATACTTTCTGACCTTCTCCAGTCTTTATTTGTTTGCAACTAGACAAAATGATCTATTAACCCCTTCACAAAGGGAATCCTCTAAACACGATTCCCATGGTTTGCACCCATACCCTGGAATCGTGTAGCCTTAATTTTTAATATTTGTAATTTTGTTTGGGATTGTTTGGGGTTATCTGGGTTGTGCCCATACATAATGTGAAGGACATGGCTGACAATATGTAGCTGACACTTGGCATGAGGCCATGTACCCACAGTATGGCTTCTATCAGTTTAGAGAACCTATGTGTTGAGCGAAGCTGTTGCCTGGGGTGGGCTATTTATTCCATAAATCCTTGCTTGACAGAGTTTGTGATTATAAGATCCGACCTTATGGACTGGAATGGGAGACTACAGATTGGTGAAGCCTCTTTTTGGTCACAAAGAAGTCTAACTGCAGATTCAAATAATTTCACTCAGCGGTGCATCTTCCAGATATTTAAAGCTATTGTTTTATTTTGCTTTTAGGAATTTTTTTTGCATTATCTACAAAACACATGAAAACAAAATTGGGGTAAATATTTACTACTATACTATTGTTTGCCTTTAATCTTCAGGCCAGCCCTGAATGGCATAGCCTGAGCTGATAAACATTTATATGAGACATGCAATAATTCATACTAAAAACAGACTAAAACACTCTCAAGATGCAATGTGTATTAACAATTCGGTCCAATCACAGTTAGATTTTAAAATGTCACGAACCTACAAATGAAAGGCTAGTAGCTAGTCCATTAACTATGGCTGCAGGTAACTATAGCTGCAGGTTAATTCAACTCTGCATATTTACACACCAATAAAGTAACAGCCTTCATGCAATAAAGCAAACATACGTATGTGTTTAACTATAATTGCTGACCAGATGGGATGGAGCTGATCGATAGGCAATATACACACTTACTGTACAATTCTTCACATTCTTTGCTGGCAGAGAAGATATGTGGACAAAACAGTCAGTTCTGCGCACAAACCTACAGGATTTTGGTAAGAGCGAGAACTTTATTCTTATGTACATTGATTGTATTTTCTGTATGCAATTTAAAAACAACCTCTAACTTTAATTCTTTACCATACATTCTATATCTTCTCATATCTAAATCATCAGGCGTTCTAACTTCCTCATATAGTGTAAATTCTGCAACATGTTTTGTCAAAGGGCTATTGTAACGAGAACAGCATTATTTTTTAACTCTGCATCATTTTAAGGGTTAAATGTACATTCATTTAACCCTTAAAACAATGAACCCAACCATAATGTTCACATCACAATGTTCTATTTATGCACAATGTTGGTAATACTAAATAAATAATAAATAGTATTGTTTTTACTAACAAACGAAAAGAATAATTAGCTCTTGTATATGTGTCTTACAGATAGATAGCCAAGTAACATAATTTTTTAAAAAAATTTTTTAAACATGCAAAGCAATTATATTTCCAGATGTCATTTAAATAATGTGAAGAGGTAAAGAACAGAAGCTTTATATTATTTGAGAATAATGAAAAGATGCTGTCGAGGTTTCTATAGCTAGAACAATAGAGTGGTTTATAGTGTACATGGGACTTGTCAAATATGTAAATATCATGTGGTTTTGGTGGCATGTTCCACAATCCACTTACTGTGAAACTATTTAAGTAACTGCATATGGACTACTGTGGAGGGGTCGGATTGTGAGGATGTTTGTAAGGCTTCTATCCAGGGCCGGACTGGGATAAAAATTCGGCCCGGGCATTTTTTTTATCACAGCGGCCCATTAAGAAGGGGGCGGGGCAGAGAGGGTGTGTTTTGTCATCACTCATGACAACACGCGCCCTCTCAAAGTGAGCATGTTGGTTCAATGCTCTTCCAGGGCAGACCATGCACAGAGCTCTGCTGAAGAGCTCTAGCATGAGAAAAAAGCCCTGTATTTGTTCTGCACAGTGCAAGCAAATTTAATAACATGCTTGCACTGTGTTTCCTTGCAACTTGTCTCTGGTGTCTCTATAAATGGATACCAGGAGACAAAAGGGCCAGGAAAGAGTATTGTGCATGTGTTTGGAGCCTGCTTGTGGTATTGCGTGTGTGCAGAGTGAGCTGGTCGTGGTGTGGTATTGTGTAATAAGGTCGGTTTTAGTCGTGTTGTGTTTGTGGTGTAATGTAATGCATATGTGGCTAGGGGCTGTAGAGAATGTGTCTATAGGGGATGTAGCAAGTGTGTGTATACAGGCTATAGTGTGTGTGTGTGTGTGTGTGTATATACAGGCTATAGTGTGTGTGTGTGTGTGTGTGTTCAGGGAATGTATGGGTTTGCTTACAATGAATCTAGTGTGCGTATAGGGGATCCAGAGTGTGTGTGTGTGTGTGTGTGAAGGACCCAGACTACGTATAGGAGATCTAGTGAGCGTGCGTATATAACGGATTCAGAGTGTATATAGGGATCTAGTGTGTGTAGATGATTCAGAGTTGGGTAGAGGATCTAGTGTGTGTCTGGAATGAAATGTGTTTAGGGGTGCTGTGTGTGTGTGTGTGTGTGAGGGGTGCTGTGTGTATATATATATATATATATATATATATATAATATAAATATGTTTGGAAGTATTGTGTATGTGTGTGATGCAGTGTATCGGGGGGTTGTGTGTGTATGTGAGGGGTGCAGTATGTGTGTGTGAGTGCTGTGTATGATGTGTGTGAGTGCTGTGTATGATGTGTGTGAGTGCTATGATGTGTGTGAGTGCTGAGCGTAATAGTGCTGTGTATGATGTGTGTGAGTGCTGTGTATGATGTGTGTGAGTGCTGAGTGTAATAGTGCTGTGTATGATGTGTGTGAGTGCTGTGTATGATGTGTGTGAGTGCTGAGTGTAATAGTGCTGTGTATGATGTGTGTGAGTGCTGAGCGTAATAGTGCTGTGTATGATGTGTGTGAGTGCTGTGTATGATGTGTGTGAGTGCTGAGCGTAATAGTGCTGTGTATGATGTGTGTGAGTGCTGAGTGTAATAGTGCTGTGTATGATGTGTGTGAGTGCTGAGCGTAATACAAGATAGAGCTCCGCCGGGTCCTCTCCCTCTCTCCCCAGCCGCAGGTCTGTTTAAATGGGCCGGTGAGGGAGAGCTTTGATCTCCCCACCGGCCCTCCATGGAAGACAGCGGGGCCGGCGCTCGCATAGTGCCGGCCCTGCATAGACCGGCAGGGGATGTCCTGGGACCTCCCCTGCCGGCCTCGGCCCATGGCCACCGCGGCCCACCGGGTATTTGCCCGGTGTGCCCGATGGCCAGTCCGGGCCTGCTTCTATCAAAGTATTGTGCAGGTTATCAGGAACTAAACTTGGTCATTTGTTTTCAGAAGAATTCCAATTCGGACGAAAATTGTCTCTTTTGCCCATTCATCCGAATTCCGAATTCTACAATAGAAGAATGAATTAATGAACTCATGAATTCATGAATTCGGAATTCGGATGAATGGGCAAAAGAGACAATTTTCGTCCGAATTGGAATCACCCTAAACAAAAATTGTAATTGTAGAAAAAAGGAGGAGGAGAAGAATCCAAAAAAGGGGGGACTTCCCAACTGGTAAGTAGATCACAGAGCATTTAATATTTGTCAGGGACTAAAAGGTATAAGTAGCAGACAGGAGGAACATAGGAAAGAAAAAAGTTAACAAGTACACTTCAAGCTTTATTCTTGAGTGCCCATTGGACAGGATAACAAAGAAAATAATGCCTGGTAAGTACTGGGTAAGGTGGTAGTGTAAATCAGAGAAGCTTGCCTCTTAGGTATGTATAAGGAAATTATTTGCCCATGACGAAAGTCAATTCATGCACCGAAACGCGCGTCAGTTCTTTTGATGTTTTGTTAGTCTAGTCTAGTGTGATGACTTGTATTCCACTATAGGATAGTATTTGGTTGAAACTCCACTTACAGAAAATGAGGTACTTACTTTTTGAGATTCCACTTGCCTTGCTATTATTTACAGACACACAGACAGTCTATCTCTTTACAGATATTGTGGTGCCCACAGCAGCATTGCTATTGGTAGTAGGTTGTTGCAGTATTAGCAACAAGTGAGGGACAGCAGCTTATTCTACTCTTTCTGGACTTTCCTTCCTGCTCCTGTGTCTCACCTTGAATTATCAGTTAAACCTTGCAGACTAGGGTCTTCTTCAAGATGAATCCTTTGTGGCTGAGGGTTGTAGGATTGAGATTATTAACTATGGTATATAGTATAGCTATGTTATAGTATAGCTATAGTAACAGGTAGCCTCTAGTGTATGTTTATTTTTTTGGAGAGAATTAGATTTTCTTATACAGTACATAGCTACCAGATAAGCTACTCTGATTTATACTCCCACCTTC